ACTTCACAGCGAAATGTAAAAACAAAAAGCCTTAGTTGGTGTTTACCTGAATTTGTTTGAAGATGGTGCTTCTCTTTTAAACAATCAAGATGTAACAGAATGTTCACTTATTTTCTATGTATTCACTATTCTGACTATTCTTTTTCTTTTTTTATCTGTCGCTATAATGCAACTCATTTATAGCCACGTGAAAATAAATATTGATCGAAAATAAGAGATCCTGTATTTTCATTATTTTGATGATCTCGTGCTGGGATTCAAGTTAGCCGATTATTAAAGTTAAGGGCAAGCAAAGCTGCTCCATTTCCCAGTATGTTAAGGCAGAGTGCAATGGAGGCCCTCTATCTATAGCACACTTGTGGGTCCCGGACATGTGATCACATCTATTTCTGGAGCGATAGGCAGTTGGACAGAGCTCAAGTTGGCAGCCACATGTCGTCCTTCAGGCCCATGACAAAATGGCCAGACAAAGAGCGAGACAACTGGATGAACCACAGCTGTTTGGACTGTTAGTCATCCAACACTGAAATCTGCTAAACCTTTGTCCTCAAACACCTTTTATATTCATGCATGAAGACCAGAGCGCCATGATGCTGCCTATTAGGAGCTCGAGCATTTTGTCATTGAATGTGGAACGTTCAGTGTAACGTATATTTCCCATCACATGATTTATACTCAACGCATTGGAGTCGGGAGACTGGCCGGACACACAAGCAGACAGCTGTTTCCAATCTGGAAGAATATTTATTCTGTTACGCATTGACACATAAAGTTTGGACTCAAAATATACAACTACATAATCTTTGGTATTAAGGATTTAGCGACTTGGAGGATATAAACTTTATTTTTGGCCTGATGTTGAAAATGTGCAAAAATCTCAAAGGAATCTGTTCCATGAAAAAAGAAAATCTCACCCATAAATCTTCTAATTTAAAAGACAAGGCTGTACAAAACAAGTCCTCTTAAATGACAAACTGGAGGTTTGGCTCTTGATTTGACTCTTGGTCCTATTTCTGTACTCTGGCACAAGATGTTGTGTATCGTACAAAATAAGTTTGACACATTAATGTATTTAACTACTACTTTAGTACAGCCAATAATAATGGTAATGTTCCTGTGTCGGTTCACATGTTGCTCTATAACGTATAGTTAACTGTTCTACGCCATATAACTAAATTAAAATACTGGTAATGTGTTCATGGCAACTTTGGGGAACTAATAGTTTTGACCTTGGCACATTATGATGATGGAAAAGACTATTCATGGTTTTACAATCCTTTTCTTCCTCCACAACTCATTTAGAAAACGGCATTTTACCTCTTTAGTCCTCTTCTTTTTCTGACTTTTGAAAGAAGAAAAAAAAAGGGAAATCCTTCAGTTGGACGGAAAGCGGAAAGAAGTGGAACGCAGGACAATCCGAGGTGCGACCACCGGGTGCAGCGACGCGCACTGGCTGCTGGTTGCGTGTAGGTGAGACGTTCCCATAAAAGTACCGTTACTTTCTACCGGATTCTGCACGCACGCGCGCGGCTGCCGCGGGTTCAGCTGTTGCCGCGCGCGTGCGTGCGCGCGTGCGTTCCCGCGTGCGTATGTGCGCTCACACTCACACAGTCTGGTCGAGATCATTTACAGTCACAGCTGCATGCAGTAGTGTTAATAACGGTCCTGAAAAAAACACTGACAGTTTTGATCGGAGGAGGAAGTTTTATTATTATTGTTTTAATGGTTTATTCGTTGTAGCTTAAGTTTCCTTTTTACTGTATTTATTCCAATAACAGGTTATTGGCGGTTATACGTTTGAGTGATGTCATTTTGCTCTGTGATCACTTGTATCTTGGACATAATGCAAAGTTACACTTTGTCAATAAGTGTAACTTTTATACTGACCTTAATTTCACTGTGAAATCTACAATGTAATTTGTTTGCTGTTAAGTTGTTGGAGGACTAAATAGTTTATATCCTTATACATATTGGGCAGAATCGTCATTCAAATAGGTGCATTTATTGTGTGTATAATCACCTGTCGCGCTTCATTGTGCCCTCGCCATTTCCTACATTAGTTAGATTAGCTATAATTGGCTTGAACAAAATAAACTAGACACTCTGTTTAAGTGTGTTTGGCGGGACTACAATCTAAATCCAGACACATGGCGTCATTATCTAATAGAGCCAAGATTCCTCACTTATCAGTTGAGAGGGACACACAAACGCGTCCTTTGTTTTTCACCTATAGATGTTGCTGTCAATCTGCTATGCAGTGACTCATATCATCATGCCAAGAACGTCACTAAAATAGTTTTTCAATATAGTCACGTCTAATCAGAGAGCGTGCATTCCTGTCACACGTTGTGTAGAATATACAGGAGCCTGCACCGCACTGGTGGGGCTTCCTTAAGATGAGACATTTCTCTTGTGGATGTAAATAGAAACTCTGCAGCAGACACATTTCGTCTAATGGCTTCCAGCACAGCTGCTGACTCACAGAGCAAACAGGCTGCAGGCAGAAAACCTGCAAAGTCTTCTGGTAATGCAATAGAGATAGAGAGATTTTTGAGAATTGGCATGCCTCTTTATTGAACTTGATGTCTAATATTCTTTTGTGCTGCATTAAATAATCATTTGTAATTGACTGAAAATCAATTTTGGAAAACTGGTTCTCTTTTAAAAAGATCATGTGAAAACTACTCGACATTTTAAACCACATGAACATCAAATTTGAGTAAATTCACACAATACTCAGTGCCTTTAGTTATGTTGAAGCTTTGGGAAATCCCCAACAAGAGGGCCTGAGCGGCGGCTAACACTGTGGCCTACTTAAAATTGAAATCTGAGAGGCAGAGCAACATTGAAGAAGAAGAACATTGAAACATCTCTTCAATGAAAGAACAGAAAGATGACTTAAAGGTGTGTGCTTCAAAAAGTAAAGCCTCCTGGTGCACACAATTAAAAACAAATTTAACACAGTTAACACACAGAGTCATCCGAGCTGCGTTCTGTGGACTCGGACCCGTCCTCCCCTGCTCCTCTGAGTCCGACCGTCGGGGCCTCGGGCACAACAAGGTGGCCGCTTTAAATAGCACCACAGTTGTGGCAACTTTTCAACGCTAACCTGAGTCACACTGGGGCCTTCGTTCTGGGTGCTGCACCTCACCCCTTGCACCCCCATGAATATTTTTGTTGTGGTGCAGCCCCCCCCCCCCCCCCCCTCGTGTCGCAGGGCAAAACTGAGTCAGTGCTGGTGGATGAACTCAAGGATGCCAGCTGTCTCTACTGACACAGTCTCAGTTTGTAGTTAACGTCAAACTAAAAAAAGCTCAGCAAAGACGGCTAAACTTGTGGACCATGACATGAATCCTAGTCCAAAAATTGTCATTATTTGTCGACATGATCAAAATATCATAGGAAATCCTCTCGTACTCTTCTCAGTCTGAGGAGGTGCTACAGTTCCCTGTCCTCCAAAACATCCCAACGCCACAGCAATCAATACTCTTTATTGAACCAAGTTAACAATTGCTGTTGAACTGGAAAAGTCTTTTAGCAATTTAGAAAAAGCAATTACATCACAGAACAGAGCGAATCCCACTCCTAAAGATGCTTTAAGACGCACGCAGTCTTAGTAAGTGAAGAGAAAACATCCTTTAAATTTACCAGAGGATAATCAAAGTAATCCAAAGATGTGCTCTGAAACCCTCATGTCACCTCATGTCAACTCTCTCCGCTAACATCGGCACAAGAAGGGCCTAACTCTGCATTACTGGCTTGTTGACAACACTAAACCAGGTAGAGACTGTGGTGTTATGCATCACTGACCACGATCCCTTAACAACAGCAACCACTGCATTATAGAAGAAGGGCACCGCTCAACATTTGGTCCCATGCTCTGCCCTCAAATATGTGTTGGACTTTTGTTGGACCTTTTTTTTCCCCTTAATCTGCAGAAATCAAGATGCTTGTGTTTTGTGTCCTCGACTAAACCAATTAAACCTGAATGTACATTTGTCTTTAAACAGACCCTTCCCATTTCCTTCCGCTGTGTTTAGTGCGTGTGAAGCTCAAGTGTGGATCTCTCACTGCCCCCTAGTGAAAATACAGAGGAATGCGTCTGTCACACATTTCTACTCTGCTGTTACAATGTTTTATTATCTCCTGTTGACATCCAGACTCGGTGATTCAGCAAATCTGAAATATTTTGAAATATCAGGCTATTCTGTATTGTTTTAATTGAAAGGCTGTCCAAATTGGACTGGACAACTGCAAAATTGTCGGAAAGACATAAAGTTGAGCATCATATTTCATCCATGTTTTTAAGTCTGTTTGTTTCGTCTCAGCATTTCTACTTTTTTTTAATGTCGGTGTACCAGAAGCAATTATCAAGTCATCCAAAACGAATTTAGACCAGGTCACTGATCTCCTCTCATGCAGGATGAAGACTCTCACAAGCATGTTAAATACGACATGGAGACACACACAGTAAGAAGGACCTTGAGGATTAGGAATGTTATATAATATTATATATACATACATACATACATCAAGTTTAATGATTATATTGTGAGATTCCAATCAGTTATAAATTTGATTTGATTGGGCCATGGTTAGTCTCTTTTTAATAAACAGATTTCGCTCTTTGTTACTTGTGTTTTTAAAGTGTTCTACAAATATATCATTTCAATGTTTAGAGTGTGGCGTATCCAACCGTTTTTCATTCAAAAAGTTTAATGCCATTTGTGTGTCATGATTAAATTATACATCACATTATTATGATTTTTATTATTACTAATATTAATGTCAATATTAGGTTATATACATATAACTGAATAGATTTAGGAGCTCCAGTTTGACGGATCACTCTATATGTATAAGAAAATAACCAACACTTATATGAGGCAACTGTTGAAGTGAGTGGTACCTGGATGAAGATATAAGATACACTAAAGAATGGAATGCCGCGCATGCGCACTAGTGGCGCCGTGACCCGAGCCGATTTAAACTACTTCCTGGTCCGGGAAAACTGACATTATCGCGACAGCCTGTTTCGCTCGCAGCTCAGCGACGGCGGCCTGGCGCTGGAATGCGAAACTATAACTTATTTAGTCCCAACAAACCGTTGACAAACATCGGCGTGCCGCTTCAGACACGTCGCAGGTCTGCTGCGGACTCGTTGGCGGCCACCCGGGACGCGAGGGAGACTCCGGACGCATGGTAACGTTTCATAAAGCCGTCAGTGGCTAACCCGCGCTAACCTTAGCATCGCTTAGCTAACGCTAGCTAATCCATCAACAGCCAGGCTTGTGACAGCTGACCAGCCGACCAAGACCAAGCCACCGCTAGCGGGTCAAGTTAGCCGGCAGGCTGTTGACGAATTGGGTCGACGTTAATCTCGGGTGAACGGTTGACTTTGTTAAGCGGGTCGTGTTGCTGATTCAACTGTTAGTTACGAGAAACACCGACTCGTCTCTCGGCGATGGCAAACGTTTCCTGACTCAGCCGTCACAGCCCTCCGGTGTGTTTGAGTGATGTCCGGAGGCTACCGGATGCTTACAGCTAGCTAGCGATGGTTGTGTGTCGTTGCTGCTCGGTGCAACAGAAAGGCTAAACAAACAAACAGACTGACAGGCGTCTCGCTTTGAAAGGCATTCCCCTTGACATTTCGGTTTCGTCCGTCATCTTTTTGCATGTTCAGGATATGAGACGCGATCAGCTGTTCCAGCGTTTGCTGCCTCGGGCTCGTTGACTGGGCTCAGGATGGCGCAGGGGGGCTCTCCGCTTGACTACCACATCCTGCAGGACCTCAAGCAACGTTTCCCAGAGATCCCGGAGGGTGTAGTTTCCCAGTGCCTTCTGCAGGTATTTCGCCAGCGCTCACTTTGTTGTGATCACCAACCTCTAAGCGTTTTTCACATTATGCCACCGCATGACCTGACCGCGTCCCACCGTTGCTTTCTCAGAACAACAATAACCTGGAGATCTGCTGTCACCTGCTGGCCCAGGAGAGTCACCGATACCTGTATGGAGAGTTCCATCACAGCCCGGAGGACGTGCGACTCGGTCGAAACCACATGCTACACATTAGCATGGGATACCCGAGCTCGGAGGCGAGCAAGGCGAATGGAGGAGGAGGAGGAGGAGGAGGAGGAGCAGGAGTAGGGCGCTCCCTTGTGCACAGCAACAGTGACAGTCACATCGAACCCCAGCGGCCCAGCTACCCTGAGCCGCTGTCGGCCCCCGCCACCATGGCCCCCTCCCCGGGATACAACCCCTTCTTCATGAACGAACAGAGCCGCTCAGCCAGCACTCCCACTCCTCCACCCTCTATCCAGGGCATGTCTCCCACGTACTCACCAGTCCCACGTTACTCCATGAACCCTATAACGGTCACAATTCCACAAAATAGTATACCCAATGTCCCACAGGCTCTGCAGATACCCTCAGCGCACTATGCTATGCGACCCTCCCCTTCCCAGAGCCCACAGCCAGCACCCTGGTCCTCTTCAGGGGTGCCTGTGTACCAGCATCAGCAGCCCCCATACAATACTCCCACATACGTCTCGCCATACAGCTCCCCGCAGCATCAGGTCCAGCCCCAGCCGCAGCACCAGCAGTACGTTTTCCTCCCCATTAGCTCCCCAACACTTCCCAACATGACCTACCATCACCAGCAACAACCCCAGCAACAGCCGGCTGTTTACAGGTCATACCATACGAAAAGCACCCTGGAGGGTCCGCGGCCTCGTAGCAACTCCCCTGTGCACACAACCCACCCCCAGGGAGCGCTCTACATGGCCAACAGCCCTTCGCCCGGCTCCCCTTCGAGGGGGATCCCTATGAGTGGACCTTCGTGCCCTGCAGCCTTCCATCCCGGGATGTATCTACAGCATCAGGGCCCCACAAGGCCTCGGCCTGCCTCCTCTCCTCAGCCGGGCCAGTCGGCGTATACCTTAAAAATCAAAGTGTCCCCGGGGGGCCAAGCCCAGAGGCCGCTCGGCTCGCCTCCCGTGGCCGAGGCCGAGTCTCTTCTCAACATAGTGGACCAAGGGGGACACAATGCTGCCCCCGCGCCCATCCTGCCCATCTCCGCTCTGCCAGGGAACATTATCAGTCAGTTTCAGCACATGCCCCGACGTTCAAGCTCAGGCTCTGATGATTATGCCTACACACAAGGTAGGATCCCCAATTATCTGCCTGTGTTTTGCAGTTTCCACCACTACCATGTACCAAAGGAGCATATGCAAATCTTCATGTTCACTTCACTATGATTACACTATATACCAAAATCGTGTGTGTGTGTGTGTGTGTGTGTGTGTGTGTGTGTGTGTGTGTGTGTGTGTGTGTGTGTGTGTGTGTGTGTGTGTGTGTGTGTGTGTGTGTGTGTGTGTGTGTGTGTGTGAGAGAATATCCAAGGGTTCACCATTTCATGTTTTGAACTCTGCGTTGAAGATCCAACTTCTTATGTACTACATCTCTGTGGGCTTTTGATGGAGAGAACGTGTTGCTACCGTTAATGGAACCACTCCTGAAAATCTTATTTCTTGTTGTCTAAAATGATGACAAGAGTTTGATTTAAGTGGTTAATGGCTAGAGTTGCAAAGGATCAGAGCATTTACAAAAAGTTGAGCATATTATTTTATACATAATCATACATTTCTAATAGTAGACTTACGTGGGTTGAATAAATTCAATGAATATGCAAGATGTATCCACTTCTGTTAAGTGGATAGTGGATACATCTTGCATATTCATTGAATTTGTGATGGTAGTGATTATTCCAAGGGATCTGTATTTGTTACACGCATGTTATTTCAAAAAAATGATTTGATAAAATGTTCAGACTTGATGTTGCTCCTGTACATTGGCATTGATTAGAAATGGAGAACTAGAGTATTTCTTTCTTTCTTTCTTCTAGTTTTGAGCATTTTGTGTTGGTTGTGTTTCCCTCCAGCTCTCCTGCTCCACCAGCGGGCCAGGATGGAGCGTCTAAAGAAGGAGCTGCTGCTGGAGAAACAGAAACTAGACCACCTGAAGTCCAATGTTAACAGCATGGAATATGACGCCCTTCAGAGGCGCTTTCGAAGAGTCAACTCCACCAGTCTTATACCCAGAGTAAGGACCGAACACGATAATTAAGTTTTATACTTTTTCACATGCACACGAAAGCTAGCGTTCAACAATAGCCTGGGAAATCATTATCCTTTCACAAGTTCAATGCAGCTACATTGTTACACAGACTCCGTAATGTGCTGTTGAAAGTGAAATGTCACATTTTATTTACATTTGTATTCCAGTTACAGCAAAAATGCTGCATTATGGAAATGCCAAAATGCTGTATACAAATGTATAAAGAGATATTCATAATAATGGCTTGTATGTGACCTGTGAGAAGTTTGGAAGGACGGGGAATATGTTGGTGTTTTATTTTTGTCTCATCTAACTGGGTTGTGTGTCTGCAGCCTGAAGAGATGACCCGATTGCGGAGTCTCAACAGACAGCTTCAGATTGATATCGACTGCACCCTGAAGGAGACCGATCTACTGCAGTCGAGAGGTATACACACGCACGCATGCCGACACACACATGAATGCACATCACTAGACATAAATCAGAGACGCACTTCAAACGGTCTATCTGTAAGCATTGATCTTGAAAGAGCGAAGCCCAGCAGCAGACAACAGAGTTGGGTCTAGAGTGATGCGCGGGGCTCCATCACGCTGCCTACAGATGTAGCGCTCTGGAATGACCTGCTGGTCCCTGCACGGTTAACCCTCATCGGGCCCATGCTCGGTGTTTGCCTACCGCGGGATCCTTGTCGATTTTACGTATTTTCTTACCGCATTGAACAAATGAGTTACTGCGCTCCATATATTTACCCAGAGTGGTGTTTTTGGAAGCTGAATGGCAGCCGGCTCGAGATTGGGGACCAGTTTGCTTGATATCTGCCCGCTACCACTGAACATTTGGGTCGTGGTCCTCCTGGAAAATGAGTGGAGCATTTCTCAACGTTAGTTTCAGACTTCCAAATGCCCTTTTGACAAAGTTGACTTGTTATCTGTGCAGTTCATCGCATCCCTCGAGAACATGTTCTCTCTACTTCAAACGTGGCGGCTGTGTGGCTGGTGACACAAGGACGTGCGGTGGTGCAATCTGGACTCGCAGGGGTTCACTATTAATTCACTTTGAATAAACAAGCGGCAGCGCGGCGCAGTGGTCGAGCATGTTGTCGGCAGCTGGCCTTGATTGGTCTGATTTACTGTGGCATTCCTCTAGCGGCCGTTCACACCAGGTCACGCGCTGCCGTGACAAAGCACAAGGCGCTCACTTTGTTTTAAAAGCTTTTAACATGTCAAATCACATGTACTGTATAATACTACAAGTGACTGGAAAGTTACTTTACTGACTCCGTCCTAAAGATTCTGCAGTAAACTGTAGGATTACACTGTTCATGTTACCCATCGTCCTCTCAGGAATGTGGATGCATTTGATTAGCCAACATAGTACGTCGCAAAGTTGTGTTTCCGTGGTTGTTGGTCTCGTGTGCTACAATGACTGACTCGGGGGGGCTTTTTTGTTGGGTCGGAACCAAGCCGTCCGTCATGAAACCGGTCGGAGCGATTGTGCTTCTGGTTGGAAAGGACACTAAATAAACATCTGCTCTTTGCGTTCCTCCACAGGGAAGTTTGATCCAAAAGCAATGAACAACTTTTATGACAACATTCAGCCCGGTCCAGTTGTGCCACCCAAGCCTGGGAAGAAAGGTGAGTTTTTTTTTTTTTCCTCCATTATTGTTTTTAGAACAGTAAAATAAGTCATGTTGAGACATTTTCATAACCATGTGTAAAGAAGAGATGAAAAAGACCTGTCCTACATGTAATAATCATCAATTGACACTGTTGCAAAGATGCAGATTTGAGTTTTGGTTCAAGGAACTTGATGCTCTTCTTCACTCGCAGGCAGTATTTGGCTTCCATCAAATTGAAGATTTGCGAGGTTTTTATTTGAAAAAGAGACTAAAAGCTCAATTGAATTGGGTCTTTTTTGGTGAACGCGCTCTGCGTTGGCATGAAAACTACCGCTATTCAGTGAATGCCTACGACTAACAACATTTTATGCTTGAGTTTATAACTTGCATGTGTTCTAAATCCAGCCCCGTGTTGATGACTGAAGTTTTTTTTGTTGTTGTTGTTTTTAAAGCGGATCAGGGTCCCAAGCCAGTCCCGGAGCCTCAGAGGGACGAGGATTTCGAAGGCGCCCAGTGGAACTGTGAAAGCTGCACCTTCCTCAACCACCCTGCGCTCAATCGCTGTGAACAGTGCGAGATGCCGCGTTACACCTGAGCTTAGCGCCGCGCTGTATCGCCCGCCCCTTCCTTGACCATTCCCGGGATAGTATGAGCCCCACCCCTCAAAATCTGCAGAATGTGTCTAGAGCTCTGCCCCTGTCAATCAATACGTAAGCCCCTCTTACCTGCTGAGGAAGAGCCACCATCCCTCTCCTGCTCCTATCTACTACTCATGTGCACTTTGACCCTTTTTCTTTCCATTGGAGGAGGATGATGATGATGATGCCTATTCAGGGCAGTCGGAGACTCTGCTCATGGCAAATGTATAAAAGATGGAGTGACTCTGGCCGTCGGTTGTTCAGGGCTTCAGAAAGGCCTAAAGCGATTTAAGGATCAAGGAGGAGGAGCTTCGGTTTACCGAGAGAAGATTCCACGCAGAAGGAGTGACTGCCCTGTTTACACTGAGCCCATTCCTGAACTTAAAATGGAGGCACTTCCACTTTAATGTAGGACCTGTAACTCCCACCCTGACAGCGGAACAATGAAAGCAATGGTATATACATTCTGATTAATGCGAAATGTAGACTGTACACTGTATCTGGCTCTGTATTAGAGCTCCTTTCACTGAAAGAAGAACACTAAGGACATTTGCATATGAGTATATTCCTGGTACTTTTATGCGTATAATGCCACCATGTATTATGTGTTCAGAAGATGTTGATTTCCTGTGCAAATCCCTCAACTTGCTGTACTTAATAAAGGAGCTGATTCTATGTGACTTGACCATGCACAGCTGGCATGTCTACATAGGTTGTTTTTTTTAAATAACTCATAGATGCTCCTTTTTCCCCCCCAAACACAAATGAAACACCTTTTTTTCCAGTACATATTTATTTGAAGTAATCAAACCAGTGGGAATCAGAAACACAGCAGGAAATGGTAGTAACATGCACACACACGCCCACTTTCATTAAAGTTGCAAGAGGAAGTTGGAGATGTTTCTGAGCACGTTTAAATTGGGCTTGAGACCGTTTTCCTCACTGGTCTCACCTGTTGTGATCACACTGTCCTTCAGGTTTGAAACTTTCCCTTTTCTGCTTGATCCAATAGTTCTAACACTGATCACACACGGCATATTTAAACTTCTAAAGTACTGCATCACGAACCTTCCTGTGGGTGAAAAAAAACAGACTTTCAATATCAATAATTTAAAGCCACAGCCTCGACATGTCTGACCTGCCGTGTATTCTTACAGGGTCTCATTCCTTACAGGCGATGAGGAGGCATCACATGAGGGAGCGAGGTATGTATGCGTGTGTGAGAGCACATGCTGGGTTCTATGATCATGCAGACATAACACGCTCTGCAAACTTTTGCCCGCTTCCTTGCCACTGGTATGGTAGTGATTATAACTGTATTGTGCTTTTTGCGCATACTTTGCATATAACACAACCCTATTATTGACAAGCAGGTGTAACTTGGGATTATGTTGCACGTTTTACATTAGCAGCCAGAGGCTTTACCGCTGTTTAAATATGAAAGACACTGGTATGCGTCAACTAATGAATGTTTCTCTCACCAGTATGTTGTCATTTGGAGCCGGCTGTGGAATGTTTTTTACTCTTAGGTAGACTTTGTTTATATACAGTATATCTGACACTTTTAATTCACTCGGCTGCAACGGGAGAAAATAAAGGCCCCATATTTGGACGTTGATGACATGTCCTCGGCGACCTGTTACACGCTACTGGAGGAACAAGGCCGTGCCAAGTTCCAGTTGCAGTGTAACTGGGGGGAAATGTAGCATTTCCTGAGGTGTGCCCTGTCTTCCTCACTTTGTCATCCTCCTGACATCACTTTGATAGGCCTCCCTGGATCTGTCACTTCCGTGGTTGGCCTGAGCTTACATCATTCTCTGCCCTGATTGGTTATTCATGGTCCTCCTGGTATGCGGTTTGTAAATCTGCTCCCTCTAAATTTTCTGCAGAAATCTAAAGACCTGCTGGAGTTCCACTTCAAGGGGACTGAGAGTTAACTGAGCACTGACATTCTCTCCCAATTTAAACTGGCTGGGTTGGATTTCTCTTCACCCCTGGACCTCTGCCAAACTGTCTTGAGAGAGAGCACGGCTCCGGTCCAAAGAGTGAGGATAGACTTTGAAACAATAAGTTCACAGTATAAACCGAAAGATCATTTCCCGTCCTAAACTAACAAGCGTTTTGTATTTTCTGTTGTTTTTTTGGTCTGTGCTTGTGCACTAATAGACAGAAAGTTCCTTTTTTACTGAGAGGACAGCGGGTGAAACAGAGTCTCCACTTCTCCTCTTGTCCCACACGTGTTAGTAGTAGTCTTCATAGTTCTTGGGGTTGAGGCAATAGAGGATGGCTCCTCCAAAAGAGAAGATGGTGGATCCCCAGGCCAGGCCGTAACCCCAGTTGAACTCGTGGTACACCCTCAGACTGACCATCTCTATGAACTTGATGGGGAAGAGGACCAAGCTGCACACCTGGAGCACCACTGCAGAGGGAAATGGGAAAGAGAGACGGTAATGTCAAGATAATTATGGTGGCTATTCAAAACAGTGGTTGGACTAAAACTGTCAGGGGGGTTGATAGAGGGCACTCCGATGGCGAAATCCTATATTCAAATAATGAAAGGCTTTGCCTTTGGTTCTTTTCCCCTGACAGCTATAATAGCGGGAGATTGTTTTGAAAGCAGGCAATTATTTCTTTTGTTTCTTCAGACCGTCCTTCGGCTTTTCCTTGCCTGTTTTTTTTTTTTCTGCTTCAGATTGTCTTTACGTACCTGCGGAGAACAGCAGGACGGCCACCGGCTTGTAGCAGCGACTCCTGCAGCTGGCGCAGAGGGACGTTAGCGCCATGAGGAAAGAGAGCAGGGTGAGGGCCGCCCCCCCCAACAGCAAGGCCAGCGTGGCGATCTGCCAGTCTGAGGAGGAGGAGGAGGGGAGGAGGAAGGGGAGAGGCATGAAATCACACTGATACTAAATGGAGGTTACTCTGGAGAGGCAGGAAGGTGGATGGACGAGGAGGGGTACAGAGACGGAATGGGTCAAAGGTCGTGCCGGGGCAGCTACAGTTGACCGGCCCGCGCTGGATCTTACGCAAGACAAAAAGGATTCCGCCCACTAGCTTTTGTGGTGATTCAACACAGCGCAAACAGCGGGTTTCGGAGGTCGACACAACTCCTTGTGCGTATTCCGAGAAGCCGCTTGCTGTGCTCAGGATGTGTCGATGTGAGCAACTGGGGATACAAGAAGAAGAAGAAGAAGAATGTGAACCACGCAGCGAACGACCCCTTCCGAACCGAGCACAGCAGTTTCTGGCTGACAGGAAACAAACAAACGCACACATGCTTGGCTACACGCGGATATCGGCGGGTTCAGCAGTGGATGCAGCAGAAAGGCTTCTGTGAGGCGACTCCGATAATGAGCATCCCTCCCTCCTGGCTGATGCCGGCTCAGCAGCATTATCAGCATTTTATTCTGATTTACACCAAAATACACTCAAGTGGAGATAACTGCAAGCTCACTTCCCCGTCCCTGCACGCCAAGGCGGAAATGAAAAAAGTGAACAAAATTGAAATGTGTCTGTCAATAACAAGCGCAAGAGTAAGGATTTTGCTTTTCGCAGAAAGGAAATCACTGCAACCTTTTTTCAGAGACTTAATTAGCCATGAGACTTTAATTTAAACTATGTATTGTTGTTTAGAGATTAGTGGTGTTTTACTCTCCACTGGAGGAAACAGGAGGTACATTTGTAAACAGGCAGAGGATATTATGATGGGGGATTTGATTACACAGGAGGAAATCATTCATAGCAAAAAAATAACATCAAAGCATAAAGCTTGAGCCCAACATAAGTTATGTGTATTATATGTTACAATGGGTGTAAAAATGCCAATGGAAAGTTTGTAGTGTAGAACATGTTTTGGCTTTTTAAAATGACTGAGCATTGCCAAGAATATTTCCTCTCTATTGAGGCAGAAAATCATCAAAACATTCAGCAGTAAAGAGAAAGTGACGGCACATAAGCTGCTTAAAGTACAGTTCCCACTCTTGTTGAAGAGAACATTTATTCCAGGGGCCAAGCAGCTCAAACCTAAACAAACACCAACCACTTCTGACCAAATATGGTTTAGGGTTTAGAGTTTAAAAATGGGCCCTGTCACCACAGGATGTTGGAAAAAGTCCACGTAAAGCAGAGCACCAGCTCCCTCCGGCCTTCAGCTTGCACAACTCCAGACCCCCCTTGAAGATCGGACCCCTCGACTTTCTCTGCCGCTGCCTCGCTGGTTTCCTCTCAGCGAAAGGGCCACGGCGACTCGGCCTAATTGTCAAAGCCTATCGTTGGTGGGATGCGTTCCCTTCGGGCCTGTTTGTGGCCTTGAGCCCAGCTGCGCTTATCGGTGCGCTCGTGAAAACAGCAGGATGCAGAGAGTCGTCTCATCTGAGATTTGGAACAGACGCCGTACTCTGTGCGAGAAAAAGCCCCGCCCGAGTCGGAGTGCTCAAAGGCTCTGACGAGCAGGAAGGGCCAAACTGTTAATCTGAGCCTCCGCGCGGCGGCAGATGGAAAGGGGAGATACAGCAAGTAAGATGTAATCGGAGGAATCGTGGCCGCCGCTTTCGTTGTAATCAAAAGCATCCTTCGGGGGCCAAATTCAGATTCTTTGTCTGAGAAAGTGGAGGAAGATCTGTGTCACTAAAGAGCCTTGAACACACTCAGTCTCACTCTCTGAAAGACAGCAGGATGGAGAAATTAAGAAGAAGTAAGAGCTTCAACCAGAGGTCTCCGGTTCAAAACCCCGAGGTGCTGAACCATTACGGGCATTACGAGCTCTTCTATTCTGCTGTGACCTCCTTCAAAGGCAACACAGACACCCAAATACTGGCTCGATTAAGGTGTTCAATTATTAATAAGCTCTGGCATCACTATGTCTGACGGAGCTCGGCACGCTAACACACCGGCTCCACATTTGTCGCTTCGCCTCGCACCGACCTGGCATCCACACCACCGTTCCACATTCCTGGCCCTGCAGAGTCTGTGTCTTTTATTCTTGACCTCCGACCCTCCTGTCTAAGTGTGCGTACGTGTTAGAAAATGGAAGTGAAAAGCAGTGGGACCTTTTTGTTTGTTGCCGTTTGGTTGAAACGCTTCATGAACCCTGCGAAAAGGGGCGATTTATCATGTCTGCTTTTGTAGCTCACGCTGCATATTATTTTCCCAGACACACTCACAGAAAAACCTTGAAACATCTGAAAAGCCAGCTGGTGTTTCAGACTAAGGATTTATTTAATGCCCAGAGCGTGACACTGAGGAAATATTGGGAGGGGCAGTAAAGGGGGGGTACAGAGAGCGATTACTGGGATTCAAATCAATAAGCCCAGCCGAGCACAGGCCCGAGGAAATGGGCAGTTTGCTGTGTGCATTTACTGTGGTATGCTGCTGCTGCTGGGAGCCGAGGGCCGACACACAGACAGCATGTCTTTATATGGCACCAAAGTGCACTTTGTCTGCGCTGACACGGTGGAATCGGGGGCCGGTGTGGCGCACAGTTACTCATCAAATGAAAAGCAAACATTTTGTCAGACTAACGAAAACACAATTTACCGCTCAGCACAGAGGAGTTGGTGGGATTGATTTATATGGAGGAGCACAGCGAGACACGAGACACGAGAACAATAACGTAGGCAGGTGTTCAGTCGTTTACATTTTAAGAATGGAATTTAGTCAATGTGTATTCTCCCTTGTGAGAGGAAACTAAATAATATTCAGTGAATCAGATTATATTTTGGTTACAGTGCGGTCACAAGGGAATGCCTTTTAAAAAAATCCCCATATTAAATGCTTCTTTGCGAAGCTGCCAGTGTTTGTAGTGGCAGGGATTATGTTATGTGTTTCTGATACAATTCAGTTTGCCCTAACGTAACCTAAAGTATCACATTTTCCTGAGATCAGGTTTGATTTTTGTTTAATCTGTTATGTTGTTATTATGTTATATATGGTGACTTGTTCTTAACCACCCTGAACTTTGCGATGTGAATATGAAATGCTTCCAGAAACAAACCGAGGGACTCTGTGAAGGAGTTTTCTTAGATCGGGGAGAATCAGCATTACTCGACTGCTTCACTTGTTACCCTGGTTACTAATCTCCAGGCATCTGGATCTCTGGGGAGTTCTCTGCTCTGAGTTGCCCTCACTCTTTGGCCGGTGAAGAAACCCACACAAAGGCTCATTTTGTGAGCAACAAAAGGCCAAATGAAACCCCAGCTGGACCGCTCCTATCCAGGCAGAATTCCCACATCATTCAGGAGCACACTAGGCCAATGTTTTAGAAAGAAAAGTTAACAAACCGATATATTAAAAAAAAATCAAAGATGTCTCATTTATTCTAAATGAATACTCAGGGATAAACTTTTTTTTTTTTTATTTCCCACTTGGAAGGAAGGCAATGTGCGCGTGTAGAAATGTCTTGCCGTTTAAATTAACCGCAGGCAATAGCTGATTATAAAGTAATTAACATTGAGTGCTCCCTTGGGCGATGTTTTCATAATTCTCACCCGCAGAACAGATTGGTTCAGCAGTGCGCAGCGTGCGGGGACCCTTTGTTATCCCCGCGCGCGCTGCTCCTCTGATGCCCGTGGAATAAACACGATGGGGGGGGGGGTTAATTATATGCACCCCGAAATCTGCTCCTTTGTTTTTTAAGGCTAAATATGCCCCAAAAACTACACCGTGGCACTGGTTTGAGAACTTCAAAAATAACATGGTGGCGCATCACTGCCATCGGACACGACGGGTGACCGTGTGTGCGTGTGCGTGTATATAGGTGCGCGCGCGTCCGTCTCACCGGTGGTCAGCGTGCTGCTGCAGGACCACTGCGCGGAGCTGACGGGCTTCCAGCAGGACACCCACATGGACAAGTAGTACTGGTCATCCGCCGTGACCCACGCCGGGCTCAGCACGGCCCCGACGTCCAGGCACAGCGCGAGAAAGACGCAAACCAGTCCCACCAACTTCAGGGGCGTCAACGCGGACACCCGCACCTCCTCTGCGCCGCTCTCGGATGAAGCCATATCTAAAGTGTCTCATTCATTAAAAAACAAACAAAAAACGAAGAAGAAGAAAGTGTGTTCGGAGGGTTTGTAATGTTCACCAAATCCACCAAAAAGAAGAAGAAAAGAGTCCAGGTCTCAGTTCGTGCCCGTGCGCCGGTCCCTGGCGGCGGTGTTTTTCGGGTAGCAGGATGGGGAGCCGCGTCCCGAGTCCGGAGGACGCTGCTGTCGCTGCCGTGGAGCCGGCGCTCTGCTGACGCCCCCCCCGCTGCACACTGCTCAAGTTAACACGGGGGCTACACCTGCTGGGTCCTAGTGCCGAGGCGCTACACCCGCTCACACAGCATCCCTCCGCGCGCGCGGGTCCTTGTCAGTAGTTCTCACGTGCGCTGATGTGACAGAAGTCCGTTAGTCGGGATGAGGGCTGGTGTGTTCCATGTGTGCTTTAGTTGGAAACCCGGAATCTGAATTTAACATGAATGCCAAATGTTTTTTGATGTCGCCGGAGCAGTTTTAGCTTTAACTTAATAAAGAAACCACGGCTGTTGTTCATATGCCGCTGACTTTTCAGAAGATCTTTTCAATACTGTTATAAACCACCCGGTTACATTATACCCTGTGCATGGAATTACAATCACAACAAAAAATAAAAATCTTTTTTTTTTTTTTTTTCCTCCTCTGATTTACGTCAACTTTTGTCTCGAGGGATTCGTCTTTTCCAACAAGCTTTGCCCCACTTTCCCTCTCTCCTCTTCAGGTTGCATTTATTAACATCCAATTCGCTCTGTCTCTGTCACACACACACACACACACACACACACACACACACACACACACACACACACCCTTTGCTGAAGGAAGCTTACACAGCTCCTTTTTTTCCTAATTGAACTTAGCTAATCCTTTGGCCTTGGGGAAGAATGCTGGAGTTAATTCATATTGATTAACTCACCATACAGTGATACACGCACGCACACAAACCACACGCACAAAGAACGAATAATTGACAAGCACATTTACTACATAGTTTAACAGAAAGGCAACAACAACATCAACTACTGAGGAATTAGGTGTGCATTGATGTAGCGCTTTAATCAATCAAATAGTGGTCACTCATTCACAGTTTTGAATTTCATTTTTGTGTGATGAACAAGTGATATGGGAAAAAGGAAAAATATGTGAGACTGATAACACCTATAAAACATGTTTACTAAATAATCATTATATTATTAGGTTGGGCTTTTTTGCTGTCAAGGGAATGAAAATATGAATTGTCAAACTCAAACGATTTTTGCAGTCAAAGCCTTTTTCAACGTGTTTCACAGCTATCCCAATTAACTGGGATTAGAAACTAAGTTTGTTACCAATTATTCCATCTTCAACTCTTGCGGTTGCAACATTTTTTTTCCACAGTAAAATCCATCGCTCATATCTTTTAGTTTTAATTGTGTGTTCATAATACTGAGGAATTCAATTAAACTGAAAATAAAAATTCCAGAAGATGATTTTGGTTACACTCTTGCAAGAAAAGCTAATATAAACGCTATTACAATAAGAGAGAAGGTTGTCTTTTAAATCAAGTTAATTATTAACCATTCAATTTGAAGCAACTTTTGATTGAACTATTTGGATAAATAAATATACAGTCTAGGATTGTCACCGTATCAAGGCTCTGAAATGACGAGGCCAACAGGAAATTCTCTCCATAACTGTAACGTAATTGCGTGGGTGGGGTTCATTCTGATTGGTTGCCTCAGCATTGTTCTCCCTGTTCCTTTAATTGGGAGCAAGGGGCCGTTCGTAGTCTGCCGAGGGAAAACAGAGCTCTGCGCATGCGCACAGTGCATAGCAACATTCTGGGGCAGCGGAGGTAACGAGGGGGACGTTCATGCGCATTTCTGGAACGAAAAGAGGTGAGCCGAATTGATAAAGTTTATTCATATCACCAAAACACGGCCTCGACGTGACGTAAAAACCCGCCGCGTTCATCGCAGGCCCCTCTTTTGCCCACTGTTTCGCATACTAACGCTACGTGTTGCTCGTTAACGTTAAATCGTTGTCCGCGAGACGCGCCGATCCCAACGAACCAGCGCGCAGCTAACGGCCGAGAATAGACCCCTCTCCCCCCGGCTTAGCATCCGCGATGTAGCTCCGCCTAAACACAACCCCCCCCCGGCTTCCAGCGGTCGCCCCCGCTGCCTCCGATGTCAACCGGACAACGGGGCGGCGGCCGGCGCCGCTTTGTTCCGAGCCGCCTCCGGTGATCTATTTCTGGGAGGCACGAGCGCGGGTTCTCGGAACACCGACACTGGCCGGCGGCCGCCATTGGTCGCTGTCACTTTGGTTGGAGGATGCATCGCGCTGACAACGCGCCCTTTCACGTCCAGCTGCGACGTTCTGCACACATTGATTCCGTTATGATGGTGTCTCAGTTAGAATGTAGGGCGATGGGACGTGGTTGCTTCTCTTTTTTTTATGTGCTGCTTTTCCTAACCTTGCTAAATGCAACTTTTAAAAAGGAAATTCCCCAATTGGAGCGATGTTATGAACGATGAGGCAGAAACAGACGTTCCTCCATGGAAGGAAGTCTTGCTTAATTCCTGTTTGACTTGTGCCTACAGGTCCAGAGATCATTCAGCCCAACAGCCTGCAGGAATCATGGGGAGCGGTAAGTCTGTGCTCTATGATTCTAACGTTGCATCACCTGTATGACTTCCAAAATGTCATTGGAAACCTTCCTCCAACGTCTTCCCGATTGTGTCAACATCCAATTTTAGTCGTTGGAATGTGACTATTGTGTTTTTTCCCTCTATTGTCTTTATTACCAAAGGGAATTTCCTGCTTCCAGCCTTTTTTTCGCTATTATTTCCTGCAGCCTTTTTTTTTTGAGTCCGGTCACATCACCGAACTTAAAACTCAATAATTCAATTTGGTTAGTTAGTTATTTCGGTAACACATCACAGATTCAGTGTGTCCCATGTTCTGGAACTATTTTTGTCCTTTTTATTTCATTCCTTCCCGGTCTTTCTTAGCCCAGGGATGGATGCCCAAATCAAAGGAGCTTTTGTTTTTATGCAGAAATGTGGGCACTCGGCAGCGCTCTGCTCTACTGCCTTTTGTTTCACTAGCTTGTTGCACTCCCCACTTCTCTCACCCTTTTTTTTTTTTGGCATCGTCCTCCCTTTTTCCTGCTCATGCTCCTCTTTCTCTTTTCAATACACACTCTTTGCTTATATCTCCCCCTTCACTTCCTCCCCTTCTCCTCTTTTCATCCTTTTGTCACTGCGTGTAATCCCGATTGCATCATTCGTTTGCTCGCACATCTTTTAAATCTCACATTCTTTCCTCCTCTGTGCCTTTTGTTTTTGCCCCCCCCTCCCCATCCTCTTCTATCCGCCGGGCCCCCTCAGTGTTCCTGCCGGCGGACGCGGCCCACTCGGTGCTGCGGCGGCTGCGCAGGGCCAACTTCTTGCTGGAGGAAATTAAGCAGGGCAGCATTCAGAGGGAGTGCCGCGAGGAGGTCTGCACCTACGAGGAGGCTCGCGAGGCCTTCGAGAACGACGAGAAGACGGTAAAGGAAGGTGACGGACGCGTCGCACCGGGCTCACAGTCCCCAACCGCCTCCAGGCTAAATACACACAGGAACAGGAAAGTAGAGCACACAGTGTGCGTGTGTGTGCGCCTACATGAGGACCCACACACAAACTTTTCTTAATATGTCTACTCGGTCTGCTCTATGTCTATACTGGTAAATTAGCTCCGGAGGGCATTCAAATATTTCCGATAAAGCCAGTGACTTGTAAGACAAAATGTACCAGATGATTGGCAGCAACAACGCCATCAGCAAACACACACACACACACACACACACACAAGTGGTTGGAGATCAGAAAGGGGTGGGTATCTATAAGCTTTTGCTTCCCCCTACTCCTTTTCTTGAACAAAAGGTGTATTTTCTCATTTTGTGGTCTACGTCTATGTTGATTTTTAAATTTTTTATTATTTGGTGTCTACATGTTCAAGAAATAAAATTCTTCAAATCAAATCAAATCAAATCTTTGGACACAGGACTGTCAGCCGGGGCTAAAAGCCACGATTCGATTTCAGGACAGCGGAGTAAACTCATTCCTGCTGCCCTATGTGAAATAATCCCTAATTTCCCTTTTTAAAGTGCTGTTTCGCAGGCTTCATGTGTCCAGTAATGAAATTCCACGGTCGCGTGTGGAATGCGTATTGTTTTTTCAGGAAGTGATGATTATCAGCAGGAAGAACAGCCGAGTCCAAACCAGAGAGGCATATTTGTAAAACTATTGTGAGAGGCCAAAAGGCGAAGCGACACGGACGGACGCGCACCATCACCGGGCCGCTTTTTGTTCGGATGTTGTTGTCTACTGCCTTTGTGTTGCAGGCATCCAGATAGAAAGTATGCTTTCAGTGGACATTGTGTGTGCGGGGGTTACACCCTGTGTTTTTCGGAAACCGTTTTGTGTCCCCGTGTTTACTCCGGAGCCGGCGTGAGGGAGCCGAGTCTTATCCAAAAGGATGTTCTTTAATCTCCTATTGATTCCTGATTAAATGCGTGTGTCGTGTTCCCGCTGCAGAGACGGTTCTGGGAAGAATACGTGCGGGAGAGCAGTCCGTCCGGAGGGCTGGAGACGGTGGTGGGAGGAGTCCACTCGCTCTACTTGATCGTGCCGCTGCTGCTGGTCGTGCTCGTCATCGTCGCGGTGGCCATCACGGTGTGGCGCTGCCACTCCCGCAAGCGCTCGCAGCGCAGCCCCAGCCTGGGCCACTCGCATCACGACCACGTCCTCTCTGTGGTCTCCATGGACCATTGGGGGAGGGATTACCACCACGGTGACCAATCAGAACTCAGCGTCCACAGCAGCCCAGCGTATCCGGGCTCAGAGCTCACATCGGGGAGAGGGAGCGCCGGAGACCCGCCGCCATCTTACGAGGAGGCCGTGGGCCATTCAGACGTCCAGATAGAGACAGAGCCGCCGCCACAGTATGAGGATATAGTCAACACCAATGCCTCAAGTGTCAACGGTGGTCACGGGAAGTAAACATCGGCCTCACCAATACCACCACCACCCTAACAAAAGCCCTGAGCAACACTAAGACCATCTGATTATTTAGCAGTGTCACTATTGTGGTATCACCAGCCCGCCGCCTTCAACACAGGAACACTTGTAACTTGTCAGTGGGCCGATGCAATCTCTACCCAGCCCTTTTGAAACGTTTCATCAATGAGGTGAGTCGATAGCAGGAAGGATATTGCAATACCACAACCAACCAACTGTGCTGATCTTCCTCAAGTTGCATTTATGCTGTCACACTGTAGCAAATCGTTTAACTCATCATGCATAACAAGGTTCCTTGTGACGTGAAGAAAGTGTTGTGATTGCCACAGTGAAGGACGAAGGGTGGATATGGGTGTTGGATCAATTCTTTATTGTCATTATTTTGACCTGCAGCAGATATTTTGCAACTATTTAAAAGGAATGTATTCAAGTGGATCTATTTGTTGTCACAAAATAGTTATTGTGTTTAGTGCATATTTTGCAAGAATATTGTTTTGCGAGATGCAGAAACGGCATTTAAAAAACACCAATTTTAAGGAAACCCATACATATTCAAATGTAATTAATGAATTGTTGAAGAGAAAACCGTGCTAATGTCATTTAAAGCCTCAAACTCTGCTGCTGATGCTTCAAGTCTCCTTCTGAAATATGGAGCACTGACATGTCAGCGAAAGACAAAAATGGAAACGCAAGTGCAAGCTCGGCAGTTTGTAGTTTTATTTGAATTGGACTGGAGTGTGAGCCAGCTTGTTGCAAGGCAGCGAATCCGTGGAGACTGCTGCTGCTGCTGCTGCTGCTGCTGTTGTTGTTGTGCGGGTGCTGTGACGCTTGGCCCACAGGGGAAGAATGCCATAAAGAGCAGCACCTGTTGCTCCCCCCCATATTCAGATTTCAGTACTTCTCGCTCAGAGGGACCTGGACTTGATAACAAAACACAGCCGGATCAAGCGGAAGGTAAAGAAACCTGTTTTATTATTGCAAATATACAATTTACACCAATGATAATAACCTCAGCGTGTCATTGACTGCGCCAACGCGTCGTTGTCCCTCATTACTGGATCCTTTTCCCGCGTGCACTGTATTTTCATCCCACCAGCTAACACGAGCCCCAACTTTGGTTTGGTGAGCAACTAATGTCTTTTAGCTTGTGAAATACGAAAGAATAATTCATTTACTTTTTGTGGTTTAGTGCACAGTGTTATTGCGGCTTGTGGACTGTAAATACTAAATATAATTTAACGCAAATGGTTTAAAATATGGGGGACAAAGGGAGCATTGAGAGCCAGGCATTTAGTAAAGCGGAACCAAAACAGTCAAAACTGTGTCAGGCTGCAACTTTTGGGTGTTGATTGACTTTTCCACATCACAATCTGTCATTTTAGTCATTGTTTATACTAATAATATCACGTAATGCAGGTTTAAATTGTCAAGTTGCCAAACGAATGCATCGGTCCGACTTCTGTATACTCTTGTGGATGTTTTTAATATTTGACCAGCAGTAAAGTGTGGTGGTGGGGGTAAGGACGTGTGTGCTTAGTGTATATGTGTGCTTATATTTTGGTGATGCATGTAGCTTCGTCTGGCTCTGCACTGTTTGCTGATGGTCGGCGCGTCTCCTACTCTGGGCTGTGGATGGTTGCTTTGACTGTGAAAATCTTTTTCCTCAATGCAAGCGTGACCACAATGGAAACGAAGACAGAGGCTTCTGCTGTTCCACTTTCACTAAAAGCACACTGATAAATCTTTAGATATACATGTAAGTTGCGGAGTGACTTGCACACGCATGTGGGACAGCGAGCCATATGACCACAAGCTCTGAGGGGGGTGGGAGGGGGGGATGCATCTATGGGGAGAGATTCTGTATTTAATAACACTACGGGAAGAGTTCACATTTAGCATGTCGTACGTACCTATATATAAATATGTATAGTCCTTACATGTGGAAGTGGAGATAGGAATGCAGCACTGCTAACGGTGTGACTAGTATACAGTAGGATGTGGTTACATTGAAGCACTGTTGTTTCAGCTCAAAATGGGCTGTTTGGTGAAAAATAGGACAGTCCGGGTTGACGTCTTCAGCGTCCCACTCGCCATTACGATGGCGACGGGGGGAAAAAAGTGCTCGTGCTCTATATGCAATTCTCCTGCATACATTCTGAAAACCAAAAATATCTGTCTAACGTTCAGATACTGATGAGTGTCACATTTTGTCAGCTCACCGGGGAGCACTGATTATTATTCTTTGTGAGTTGACCTGTGAACCTCAGCACTATGACCTTTGAACTGCGCTGTGCTGGTTGGGGGGGAGGGCTAGGTCAGCTGATGTACTTATTTTTAGTTTTTTACAATGCCTTATTAAAACAACTAAATGTTATATAACACTAAATGCAAAGATAACTTGTTATAAATCCTTTATGTGTGGAATGTTGAATTCATTTGTAATAAAATGTGCTAAACGTCACCTTGATTTCATTCGGTGTCTTGTGATTGGAGTGTGATGTGCGTTTTTATTCTTCCACTTGTCTGTTCATTGCTTAACGTTGAAGGGCAACACGGTGACAGTTTAGGCCGTAAAAATACATCTCAATTATTAAAACACGATGACTCACTTTACTACGGCTTTTTCTTTCTTTTTACATACGGTACGATAACTATTTTTGACGTATCAGAATAAAACACTTCATTGACATGATTTCTTTGACATGTTACGAGGCCTGTTTTTGACATTCTTTGAGTGTGATTCCATTGATGAAAATAAAACTATTTGCTAATATACTTTACCTACTATACATTTTGCATTATTATACAGCTTAACATTTCTTTAACATACTTTGTTTATAAAAAAATACTGTCAATTTTTTACTGAAAGAAACAGGACTTATTTGAATAATTTTTGGTACGTTTGGACATACAAGTACGACAATTTCCCACAAAAAGTACTGCTTTTATTTTCAACATACTAACCTATTAAATTTTGTATTTATATGTATATATTAAGTATTTATTTCAAAATACTAGTATATTGATAATCTATATTTAATTCATTCATTATTTACAGCTTTAATTTATTAAACTAAGTGGTACAATCTTTTATATTTGAAAAGCCGTTACAAACATTTCCTTCTCTGCAATGAGTCACATGGGTTGTGACTCACTTCTAACCCCCCCTCTAACATGCTCCACTGTCAAACAAACCAGTGGAGTTAACCAAAAGGGAATAACAAACCTCAATATAAATGAGACTCAAGAGGGATCAGTTCATTATTGTCCGTTAGAATATAGGTTTTATTGTAAAAAATAACCCATTACCTTAAAGACATGCAATGAAACGGAAAGATTTATTAACATTTGATACCAGCTCAGTTTCCCCTACTTTACCTCTCACTGCTGAAGGAGAGCCACATTTAGCACAGGCATAGAACAGAAACTACAGCTGGTGTTTGACACAAACACCGGATGAAAGGAAGCATCATCAGGGGGGGGTAGGGGGATGACCTCACAGCCTGTGGCCAGCGGTAGTAACGCTATCCCTTTGTGATTCAGTGTATTCATGGATGCTGGGAAACAGAAAAGTACCATTGAGTTCAAACAAAACATATCAAGCAAGTTCCCTGTATTATCACTTAGGACAGAGACGGTTTCCTGGATGTTTTTGTCCACTTGAACCCGTGAACACCGCGCTCACACCCACTCCTTGGGGTTTCGTAATACTTCCAGCATCTCGGCCTCGAGGGTGCCTTTGGCGGGCTCGTGCATGTACTCCCACCTTTGGACGAAGGAGGAGTCGGTTACCAGGCAACACAGGTAGCTTTCTGCCGTCATGACAGGGCAGCGCTGGTGGGGCTTTCAACCCCAGTGATCTTACCTGGCGGTGAGGGGGAGGGACATGAGAATGCTCTCAATTCTGGAGCCTGGCGTGGCCAATCCAAACTTCACTCCCCTGTCATACACCAGGTTGAACTCCACGTATCTACAACAGAAACACGGGGAACCGTTGGTCCACGGCCAGCTTTGTGTTGTCTTTGAGACACACAGAGAGAGGGGGGCAGCGACTCCATTTCTTTGCTCGGGTAGATATTATTCCATGATAACTTAGCAACTATTTGTTCGCTGCTATATGAACTCTGTGGGGCCCTGACGGTCAGGACGGCGTTATCGGTTTACATGAATGACCGCGCACTGGAGGACAAGCAGTCAGCCCGGCTATGTACACAAGGCAGGGAGAAGCTCAGATAACAACGCACACACAGAACTGTGAGCGCTGTTAAGTTCTGTCACACTTTAATGCAAGAAAACCAACAATTTACAATTTATTCAAATCTGGCATGCGGGTATGTAGTGAGAAGAAATATCCCTAAAAAGGATTCCAAATGGCCATAAACTGCCTTTCAGTGCAAACCTGACCTGGGGACCAGGGGGCATTACATGTGTTGCGCAATAGTGGAGAAAAGACAGCAAAGTCAGGAAGGTGGTGTGGTTCACGCAAGGAAACAGCAGACGTATGGACACAAGGACGTGTGACGTAGAAGAAGGAGGAGGACTTCAAGACAGTAAATATTCAGAGGATTTCCCGCAAATCCAGAGACTTCTTGAGGGAACACTTTGTAGCAGGGCTGCTCATTAAGTCAATCACTGAGGCAGTGGCGGTAGATCGACGAAAAACTGGGTAGTGCTAATTAGCAATCCTTGCTTACTAACTTACTAATTTGAGTTAAGGGAGTCACCCGGGTAAGGTAAAGACCGGTTGTGACGGTTCCCTCGCTTCCGACAGACGAGAGGCTCGTTTCGCGGTTACAGTAGATAACTATATAGTCTTTCTACATGCCTTATGTGCTGACGGCGAGGGGCCTTGACTCACTGGACTAAAATGAGGTGTGAAATGCATTCTCCCCGTACATAAATGTGTCCATTACCCATGACGGTTCGCCCGTCTCTTCCTCACCTTCCTCGTCGTACCTGCTGCCAGGCCTTCTCCTCGTCAGTAAAGGAGTCATTGAGGTGTTTGCGCACGATGGGCAGGTAACACGGCACCACCGTGCGCGCACAGCTCTTGACGAAGTCGAACGCTTCCTCCTGACTTGGGGAGTCCAGGTCATCGAAGAAGATCCCTCCGATGCCCCGAGTCTCTCCTCTGTGCCGGATGTAGAAGTATCGGTCGCACCTAAACATGTAGACCAAAGCATGTCAAATCAGCAGCCGTTTATTTTAAACCAGGGCCCGACTTTAAAATATTCAGTAGATCTTAGCTGTGCAAATAAATCATTCAAAAGGCAAAAGGGATGTTTTCCCATTAAGCTAGAAGAAAGCTAAGAAAAGCTTAGCCTAGTTGTATGCAAGTTACACAAGAGGAGAAAAAGCCTGCCAGCATCTCTAAAAGTCAGCCCAAAATATCCAGCTGCTGTTTGCAGCCTTATGTTAATTAAAATACAGATGTGAGTGGTATCAATCCTCTTATCCAACAGCAACAAAGCAAATAGGTCTAATTCCCAAAATGCCTTTGTATTCAGTCATATATTTAGCTTTAAATCAAGTTGACAGAATTGCGTTATTACAAGACAAAGCAGATAACCCCCACCCGTCCCTTCCTTATCCCCCAAATGATCATCCACGGGCCAAACGGTTTTACTCCAACTGCAGAGACTTCCTCTTATCAGCACCACACAGGGCGAACACACCCGTTGTAATCCTCACGCACAAATACAAGCAAGTGACTTCATAGGAGCGCGAGTCGCCTCGAGTCAAACTGCACCATTTCTTGAAGTCGGGGTAGTACTGCGGGTGGTGCTTGTCACAGGCCTCCTTCAGGGTGTTGTGGAAGTGAGAGGCGTCTTCTTTGCTAACGTAAATCGGAGTCAGGTCCGTGCCGCCACCAAACCACCACTGCTTGGTGCCTGGAATACACACACACACACACCACACACACACACACACACAAGAACGAAACAAAGAAAGAAACAAGGGTTATCATTCATTCTTGCACTCAATAGTGTCACTGACACCAAGATCACAACTGCTGACGTCGAGGACCGACACTCACCATCTTCCTCCTCGATCTCAAAGTATCTGTAGTTGAAGTGCACGGTGGGGATGTGGGGGTTCTTGGGGTGGATGACGGAGCTCACGCCCATGGCACAGAACGGCAGCTTACCTGAGAGATCACGGAGCATGAGGGGAAACTGCTTCTATCACTTAGTCGCTCAGAATGTGGGTTACCGCACCTCTTTTTTTTTTTTTTTAAATGGATTTATCAAGAACCGTATGACGCTTTAAGCCTGCACACAGATTTAGCACACGTACCGTCTTTCCCTTTGAGGACTTTCCCTCTGCTCCTCATCTGCCTGGCAGCCTCCTCAGTCAGGTTTCCAAACACCACGGACACGTTGACTCCGGCCTTCTCAAACACCTTTCCATCTTGCATCACACAGCTGATCCCTCCGCCACCTGGCGCGCACACACACACACACACACACAGGATGAAACACGTTGAATGGAAACGGACGTGAGGTTTGTGAGTTTAATTCAGAGTTCCCCTCACCTTCATTTCTCTGCCACCGGTCCACCTTGAACGTCCCGCCGTCCACCTCCTGCAGGGCGTTGCAGAAGTCGGCCTGCGTCTCCATGATCAGCATCTCCATCCTCGTGCGCATCTCCCCGCTCCTCCCCTGCAGCACACCGATGTCGGTCACCGGAGGAGACATGAACCCCCGGCACCTCTGCGAGATGTCCCCCTCCTGCTCCCGCTCCTTCTCCGCGGCGGCTCGGGGCACCTTCGTGGCCATGTCGGCGCGCTGGAAGTGGTCAGCGTTGGCTAGAAAACCCGCCACGGCCGCTGTGAGTGCCGCCGCTCCGCTGAGCGCCAGGGCTCCCTTCCTGGTCCGCCCGCCGGCGGCTCTGCCTGCGGTCCCCTGGGACACAAACCGTACGCCGCAGCCCCTGGAAAGCCATCTTGAACCCGGAAGGAGAGTCAGCGGCTTGCTGCTACTGGGGGACAACGTCAAGTGTGACGCCGCCGAACTGGCGAGCCTCTTTAAATGTGACATCGAACATCGTCGCACGGTGCTCTGAGCCGTTTTGTTCACAGAGCAGAAGACAATGGTGGCCATTTGAGACAGAGACGTCTTTGTTTGTGGCGGTACAAGTCCGTTGCTCACTCAAAACATTATCAGAAGTTGTGTCAGTGTGTTATCAGTCGTGGGTGACGTCGGTTAGGGAAGCACGTAGTTCCTCGGTAGTAACTGGTGCACCATGGGAAATGTCGTTCTTTGAAAAGCTCTAAGTAGGAGCGGGTGGCTACAAAAAAACGTCAACACCCAGAAAGCAGTGCGGAGAAAAAAAGTGTTGCGTTCATCGACTTCTCATATGCACGTTTTTTTCCGCCTTAAGAAGTATTTATACCTCTACACACGAGTCCAATTAAATGGTCCTGGATCAACCCACATTGAGCAGAGCAGCCAGTGACCAGTTGGGGCTTCCATTTGTAATAACTAGGTTTAGTTTAATCAATTCAAGACTATTGTAAATTACATAATATCAATACATACTTTGGTAATTGTTTCTTTTATTATCTCAATGAGGTCTTCTTAGAATTATTATTTTTATTGGTTTTGAATATTATTTAATCTATTTCAGATGCATTTTGTTTACAACATTCTGTCACTACCATTTACTCTCCAAGTAATGCTGCAAGCAGTGAATCAAATTCGGCAGTTCAACCTTCTCTCTCTATAGATTTGATTATTTATTCCTAATCTCGTATACTCTGATTTGCTTTGCATGTGTTGAAATGCACGGATGCCATGATATTATTATACTTTAATAACATTTTACATTTCCAAGACGTTTATTTAAAATATTTTCACGGAAGGGGTTAGGGCAGAAATATATAGTTTTTCTCTTGTTTACACGTGTACGTGGAGATTGTATCGCTGGCGTCAGTATGCGCATGCGCAGTTGGTAAAGCGTGTTGTAGGTCTCTATGACGACGGGTATATTAAACCTTTAAGGGCCGGAGAGGGACTAGTAGCAGATTACGTGCACAGGTGCTGCTCTGCAGACTAGGCGATATGTGGGGCAGTTAAAGGGAGCTATAGTCACAAAGCAACCCGGCTGGATGAATTCTTTCACCGCTTTAATCCAACAGGAATACTACGCAACAAGCTGCTTGAGGTAAATAACAATATTGGCACATGTTTACTGCTGTTATTTCCAGTAGCCGAAACGTTTAAATGCCATGACTCATATAAATGAAAATTGCACGCTCGGAGTCAGCAACTAATTCGATTTTCGTCCTGTTGGTTTTTAAGGCTATAACAATAAACAGGATTATAGTCTGAGTTAAACTCCTAGACGTTTTGTTGCCACCAAATATAGTTTTAAGTGAGAACCGAAACATGGCTAATGTAAACACAAGGTATACGTCAGCAAAGCATATTTGTTTTAAAAACAGACACAAAAAACATACAAAAACAAGACAACAGTTTAGGAACCTTGTAGTACTGATTGTCGTCCAGTAGGTGGCGACAGATCCCCAACACAAGTAGCGAGGTTACAGTGATCCACATCTCCTGGATCAAACGTCATATGACATGTGTGGGAATTAGTGCCACAATCATTTAAAAAATGCCTTTTAATACACACAACCTGGAGTTCATATATACTTGTAAGTATGATGCTTGTAATTCGATTTGTTTGCTGTTGTTTTGATCATGCAAATAGATAGAACCTGATGGGTCTGTATGGTAAACTGTTATAGGGGATAATAATATTCTATTCGCTGTTAATATTCTCAGTCACGCAGGTCAAAGGGACGTCTTCCCACTCAAACCGACCTCTAACCTCTATCACCCACCATACTGTCATGCAATAAAGTGGTAAATAAAACGGTCTGTGATGTGTCCATTGTATTTTCATATATGTAATAATATAATATGTAATATGTAATTGTAAGCAACATTCTACAAACTTGATAAACGACACAAATTAGTTTAAAAACACACAGTGAAATGGGTATTCAATTGGCTAGATGTAGCACATGTGGTGGCAATAAGGGTATGAAGCAATGTCAAGGATGTGTGTGTGTGTATATATATGTATATACATTCCGTAATCCGGTCAGTAGATGTTGAGATATGATGCTCTGGGCTGACTTTCAAAAAGTCCTTTTACTGGTGTGACAAGTCATTCTTTGAAATTTGTCTCTTAGCCTCTTCCAGTAAAGACTATGACTGAGGTGGTTTGCGCAAAGCTTCAGGAGGACTATGAGGACGACTTTGAGAAAGAACTGGACTGGCTGATCGGTGAGGAAAGTCACGGTGAAGACCATGTAAGCCATTTATATCAACAATAATTTACCAAACACGCGTGAGCGTGAATTCTGTCTGGAGAAGTCTGGAGATTGGATTCCATCCTGCCCAACAATAATCCAGGGGTTCGGGATGCTGAGGTCCTATGAGACAAATATGATGGCCGTGTCTTTGCTGCTGACTGGAGGTGTCTGGGGTGGAAGAAGGATCGCATCTGACGCACGCTGAAATGACCACAGTCTGCAGCAAAGAGGAGAACAGTTCTTAAAGTTCAATGTAAACGACACGAGTGGCTTACGGAAACTGTGCCAACCTTGTATGTTTGGTTAATTTAACGTGCACGCCCCCCCGTGCAGCTGAAAGAGTAACCACATGGAGAGAGGCGAGTTACTCCAAACTCTGTCAAAGCCCTCTAAATGTGTAACAGTGAGTAGGTTTGAGTTACCTGACCCGGCGTACATCACTGAATGCATGTGAAACCCACTCTGTTGACATATCATGACATACTTTCACTGAGTGCCACTATGCAATATTCATGAACACACACACACACACACACACACACACACACACACACACACACACACACACACACACACACACACACACACACACAGTCGCACGTCTGTTATCAAACCAGCACCCCATTAGTATTGATGTTGCTCCTTCATTTACCGCTGAACCCATTCAATGAATGCAGCTCGTCTGTCTTTCCGCCCCACAGGGTCCCGACTTCGGCGGCGTAGAAGCAGAGATTGACACAGAACTGGAGGAGGAGGACAAACGGAGAGGAAGGAGAAGAAAACCGAAAAGCCACAAGGAGAACAGAGGCAAGAAAACACCGGAGCTGGAAGAAGATGAAGAGCGGTGGCCTTCGCCTATGGAGCCATTAGAGTATGACCCGGACAGAGACAGCCCCACTAAGTCGTCGCCTACAGTCCCCCCACCGGATGAACAGACAGATGAGGAGAAGAAGTACATTCTGGAGAAGATCCAGCAGGCCAATCGAGACTTGCACGACCAAGAAGCTCCAGACATGGCGAGGCGCAGGCGGCTGCATTTCAAAGAGACGCTGGTGGACCTGGTGGTGCCTCCGCTGCAAGATGGGAACGCTGCTGAGGTGGGACGGCTACAAGGAAACAATTCAGAGGCTGAGGCCGAAGTTTCTGGAAAGCTTTCCGAGCTCAAACTTTACTCTCGTGGGGAAAGCGTAGGATCTGGCAAAGGCGGGATGACCAGTGAGGGCGGAGCGAAGGAGGGTAGAGTCCTGGTAGAAAAGGACGGTAAGTTTGATTTGGTGAGTCTGAAGGAGGTGGAAAGTCAAGGACTCCTGCCTCCTCTGGCGAGGGACTACTCCTCCCAGCGCCATCAGCAGCCCGCTGCGAGCTCCTCCGCTCGTCCTCGGGCCGGCTCGTCCCCCTTCCAGCAAGGCGTAGACCCCCCCCGGGCGCCCAAACCTCCCGCTCAGCCCAGGGACAGGCCCAGCTCCGCCAGCCACTGCCAGAGAGGCCACCAGGGGAGAGGCAGCAAGCGGCGGGTGCAGTCGGCCACGGGGACGCCCTGCCGGGCCACCTACAGCCTGTCCCCGCAGCAGAAAGAGCTGCTGCAGAGGATCCACGAGAGGAGGGAGAAACTGGCCAGAGAGGTAAAAAACAACAACAAAAGATGGCATAAGGCTTAAGAAAGAGATTTTAAAAAGTAGCACATCCAACATTAAAACATTTCCCCTTCTCGGCGTCGGTCTATTCACCACTGGCCTCCGATGTCAGGAGGAGCAGAGGAAACGGGAGGAAGAGGAGCAGAAGAGGCAGGAAAACGAGCTGGCGTTTAAGGCGTGGCTGCTGAGGAAGAGACAGCAGTTTCAGGGGGAGAAACGGATCCAACGAGCCCAGGAGATGGAGAGGATGAGTTCTAAGGTAACACCACACAGCACCCCGTAATCGGATAAAGGGTGGATGTTAAGCAGCCTTTGTACTGCAAAAATAAAGATATTCATTATGCATAATGGCCCGTTTTAATTTGACTAATTTGAATTAGTGATCTGCAAATGCTGGTAAAATGTTCATTTCAACCAAAAGTACATTAACTAAAGTTAAAAAAACGTATTTATTTATTCGTTCCACCTGCTTTCCCCGGCCAGATGTTTTTAAGGCAGCCTAAAATAATAAAAAACAGAAATCAAAAGGAAATTAAATGATATACATACAATTTATAGACAAACTGACACAATGTATACACACAAACTAATACAAAGTTGAAAAAAAGTGTACGACAATAGACTCATTTTAAATGTTATGTTATTTTCAAATAAGCACATTCCTTTTGCCCTCAAAGCAGAAAGACTGCAGCGAATCGGAGGACTCCTTCCGCCTGTGGCTTCAGAGGAAGCAGGAGCAGCAGCAGAGAGAGAGACAGCTGGTGGAGCTCAAGAGGATGGAGGAGGAAGGCGGAGAACTCCTGCGCAGCCGCGCACAGTGTGAACGTGCCTTTAAAATGTCAGTTCATCCTTACAATTTGCATCATCTGACGAGCGAAGAACAGGCGGAGACGTGCTCCTGTCCCTCTCCGTCCTCCAGGTGGCTGAAGCGGAAACGGGCGGAGAAGCGGGCGCAGCAGCGCGCGGCTCGGGAGCGCGCCCGCATCCTGGTGCTGGAGGAACGACGCGCGCGACGCACGAGGGATCTGCTGTGTTCCGTCAACGAGAGCAAACCGTTCCGATTCACCGAAGTGCCGGCGTACCACTTCTGAACGAACACGACTCACACGCACCACACAACATTAAAGCCGCCATTCTGTGCGTAGCTGTCGCTGTGGTTGTGTTTGATCACTGTTTATGTGCCGTGTGTGTTTAGTCACATTTATAAAAACGGTTTACCTCAGTGTGATGAACATGTATTGACTGAAGCATTATTTTATACTACATTTGGCAAATGCACTTAAATGGAGCCTCTTTGTCAGTATTTTTAACTAAACACCTCAATATCAATATTATTTTGGGGGGGGGGGGGGGGGGGGGGGTTAATAAAGCATCCATAATAAGGATATTATGATTATAACTCCAATCCTACATAATATATAGTCTCATATCAACATGAATGTATTGATAAAATTCTGGTCGTAACGCAAGTATTTGATCAGTTTCTTAATTTTAAAATTTTGGCAAGTTTGGACACTGTTTTTATGTCCAAACTTTTGACTGGTATGAATACATCAAATAAAAATAAAGTGCTAAATATAGATGTGAAATTTCACGTTTTTAATAGGCACGTACACATACACATTGGCATGTTACAGCATTTCAGAATTAAATATCAGTGAAACAAAAGTGGCCAACCTCATAACATGACAGGATGACGGTACTGGTTAGCAGTTTTAATTAAAATAAAAAAGAAAGAAAAACATCTCTTTTCCGTTTCTTTCCATCGGATTTACAGTGCAAGACTCGGCCTATCACCTGTATCATCAACACCAATATAAAGAAATAAAAGATAGATACAAAAACGTATTCCTTGAAACAGGAATGATTGACCTCTTTTATGAAAAAAAATTCCCCATATAAAATGCAGACAGTAACGACAGCAGCTGCCGATTATTAAAAAATGCATAAATAAAAGTAACACATAAACAGCGTGTTCGCATGTCAGGCAACATGTTAACCAGTATGTTCTGCTCGGTGTGCCCAGGAAAGAGGGGACTGATTCATTGCGCCAACAACAAAAGGACAACTGGACCAAGTCGCCGAAGAGAAGACGAAAACTCCGACACGCAGAGGAGGAAAGAGGGCATGATCATTAAATATTCATCATATTAGAATGTATCTCTTTCTTAAAACTGGTTGTATGAGTGATATGAGTGAAACAGTCAGTAACAACATGTAGTATGTAACAGTACCGCTTGTGAACTATTTTGAACTACTGACCACTGAAAGTAAAGCATCTTTAATAGTTGTACTTAGTGTTTATGAGCAAAACCCATCAGACACGTTGTCCAGGACAACAACAAGTACAACTCAAAGCAACAGCAAGAAGAAGTTAACTACCGATTCTTCTCTCTGGATTCTTCACAGTTGAGTGAGATTACAGCTACGATCAGTCTTCCATGAAACAGGTGCAACAAAACTAAGTGAGCTGGACTTTTAGAAGCCGTCCGGGGAGGGAAACACAAAGAACAGAAGCTAAACTCAAGTACTTGTGTGTAGAGAAACATTCAAAAAAACGCCACTGAAAGCACAAAAACTGACAATATCATTAATCTTGCACCTCAAACAGTACGAAAAAAAGTTCTTATCCAAAGGTCGGTTCAATAAATAGTTAAAATACAGAAGGATTCGATTGAAGCGGATTTGGACTGCGGCCGTTTTGCTTCAGCTTCTACAGCTCATCTTTGGGGTTGATGTTGAGGCCTCCGCCCCCCCACACGGACTGCGTGTCCAGCGCCTGGATCACCTCGTCCGCCTGCAGCCTCTCCTGGGAGAAGAAGAAGAAGAAGAAGACCGTCCAATTACCGCCTCGCCAACCCACCCCGGGGTGCAGCTCACATGCGTGATCATTGCAAAGTGATCATTGCACCTGTGGCAATAATGATGCTAACGTTAGTTTACCAGTTCTCTGAAGAGCGGGTCCAGGGTGAACCACAGAGCGACGGCACACCGCTGCCCGCTGGTAACGGCCTTCACGCCGTGTGGATTCTCCCCTCCGCTTGAGAAACCCACCATCCGGCCGCACAAGGGCTTCACCGATGCCTGGAGGGGACGGAGAGGGCCGTCAATCTCAGCAAACCGATACGTTACCTGCAATAGGAGCGCGTCCGCTGCCGTCCCGTGCAGTAAAAAATGTTCCCATCTTACCGTGACGGTTTTGGCATCCATTTCTGTGAATATGAACTCCCCTCCTTCAAAATCTCCATTTAGATATAACAGTGCACTGAAAGCAAAAAGCGAAGGACGGATCACTTATCTGTCATCACGTGCAACGCGTATAGTAGGTTTGTCTGTTCATTCAGCCCGGTACCTGAAGTCTCTGTACGTGTACGCGGGAGGTTCCTTCCAGCACTCGTTGGCCTCGGGGTCCAACAGACAGTTGTCGGCGTGGATCGGGTGGCTCAGGTCGTTCCTGTGATCTTGCTGGCCTGTTCACAGGCAACCAGCAGGCAAATGAACGACGTATCAGTGAATCACGCCTTGAGTACTTTTGCCCGGGTCCCTCCACTACCCCAAACGTGCATTGGTTGAACCGGGATCACGCAGGGCACCTGTGATGGCTGTCCGGCACACCAGGTGCGTGTAGGAGAAGTGCAGGGTGGAGTTGAGCAGGAAGTACGACTCGATGACCCGTCTCGCTCGCTCGCTGACGTCGTAGAACAGGCGGGCGCTCCCCATCGGCACTCTGCCCTCATACCCGAACTGCACCGAAACACATGTACAGTCAAACCAATAATCCAGGAAGGCGCCATGCAGGTTATCACAGCTGATAATGATCATGGATTTTGGCTCTGAGTGTTGGAATCTGCAGGTTTCAATGAGAAAGGGAAAGTCCATCTTCAGGGGTGAGTGTACCTGCAGGGTTTTGAGCACAGTGGCCCCTTCGAACTTCTCATTAGGAGTGTGTGGAGACATCCGCCCCCGGTAACCGTCTCCCGCCATGGTGACGGCCTTGAAAAACAAGAGGAAAAACAAAGCCGGAATTAATCTCTAAAGTCTCTGAATGCGACCGGCGTTTCCGTCGCTGATGTTGCGTGAGGTCCTACGTGAGCCAGGCGCCTGAGGTCCGAACACTCCTCCTCGGATATGACGCGATCCAGCAGCACCCGCTGGGTCCCGTTCAGCGCCGCGGAGTTCTGCACCAGCTGCACGTCTTCGTACACCAAGGGGCCGCCTACACACACACACACACACACACACACACACACACACACACACACACACATCACCAAGTGTGTAAAAAAAATGTCATCTGAGAGATGCTTTAACGGAGCACTTAACGGCTTTTACCTTCTTTGAGTTGCTGTTGAGCAGCAACGACGACGTTCTTCTTTTCTGAAATGGGAACATACTCCATCCAGCCGTCTGTCCCCGAGGGAATCCTGGGGAGAACGGACAACATAGAAGGCGCTGAGATATTGGTCACCAAAGCTGAGACTTAGAAATAGGCCAAAAGTCAAACATTTTTTTTATTATTTACTCATCCAGCAGATATAAAGCCATAAAATCATTCATCTGGAGATGTGTCTCCGACCGCCTAATGAATGTCTTCTTTCAGTATGAGAGCGGTGAATGTTAATAAAAACAGTAAAGCTGCAAGCCTGACAGCACGGCTGTGAGTGGAAATCAGCAAAAGATCTCAGAGTTGAGGAGATCAGCAATGTAGTAAAACATATAGAAGACTACACTCAATATCTCTCACCTGTTGGAGTCCTCTCTCCCGCCCGTGCTGCTCCAGTAATTCTGTAAATGACACAAGCAAAATGCATCAGAAGGACTGAGTTTGCAGACAGGCGTGAGGCGCGTCAACGTGGCCAGCAGGTGTCGCTGTGGGCCGAGAGGACGGCCGCGGAGCGGGTCGGCTGGGTCAGACACCTGCCGCCCTGCTTTGAGTCCACCAGCAGCAGCAGCAGCAGCAGCAGCACATCAATGCCTTTAATGACTCTACACAACCGCATCTGTGCATCAGACACACTTTACGAATAACGTTAAATGACAGAAACATGCCCTTTCATATCTGGGTGATCATAAGGGCGGTGGTGGGATGTTGTTGTGTTGTGTGTCCCGTTCACTCACCCCTTCTGTAAATTCCACTCCCATGGTTTCGCTGCCAATCAGAAGGAGCTCCAGTTCCTGTTTGTGCCTCCTCAGGTACCAAGCAGCTTCCTGGGAAACACAACACAGTTTTTAAGGAGTTGTTAAGGCTATTTTAAGGAGAAAGGGGAGAAAAATGCACAGTGTTTATTCTAACAGGACTATTATAAAATGTTCCACATTCACGCCGGTGATTTAGCTGATATTAAATGACTGCATTGTTTTTATGCGCAGTTACGGCAAAAATAAGTTTTTGTGGTTTGTTATGTATTAAAACTCATTAACAGAACTTTTCCTCCTGTCGTCACCCTTTCAGCACAGATAAAAAGCGAAGCACAGTGAGTCCTTCCCTCGGCTCGGTGCTCGGACTGATGGAGAGACACATTTCACTACATTTCACTGCGAAGCAAAACGTTGAATGGAAGCAAAAACATGCTGCCCGACACGCCGCGGTTCACGCGGTTTGACGCGGTTCTTGGCTTTATATATCGGTGTAAAAACATAACAGCTGATACGTACGCCTTCTTAAATGAACGCGTAACGTAACCGTTTTCCATCAAATGTGGTTAATAAAGCACGACAAAAATAAATGTAGTCAGCGGGACATTTTAAGGCGGAAAGTTGAACATTATGAAACTGGAGCATCCAGTAGCGTTTTTTCCTGTTGTGGTCCAGAACCCTTTATACAAACATCCCTTAAACGGTTTCAGGGAAATCTGTGGGCCCACTGACATGACTTCTGGAAGCGGGACTCTTTGGCAGGGAGGAAAGGCACTCCGATCGAAAGGGCCTGAAAATGAGTTCCCCAAGGCCAGTGGAGGGGGGGCCGTACTGTAAACTAATGGGACTGGAAATACTTGAGGGCTAGAAAAATGTAAGCTATGAGTAGAAAAACATAAGCATGGACAGCAACACGTCGGCTTCTCTTCATCACGCACACACACACGCGCACACACACACACATTCGCTGCGGGAGGCTTCGCTCGCAGTAATGAGTAGCAGGCTTTTGCAGGAAAAGGAGGTTGTGTAATTGAGACTTGAATATGGCGCTTATTGACTTTTCAGACCCCAGATTCAATTTTCTCCACTGGGCAGACCTTCTGCCTTTAATCAGCAGAGCGTTGCGAATACCAGAGGGCGAAGGAAATAATAAATAGCGCAGCCAGAGGAAGGACTATGTCGTCGTAAACACGTTGGCTGCATGGGACTTCCAACAAGTGAAAAGACAAACTTCAAGCGTCAGTAGCTGCCAAGCAGCAAATAGCAAGTTCGTCCAAGAAATACAGCAAACTGCGTGCTGCCTCCCACCATTCCCTCTCCAGTCTGCTTCCCCCAACTGCTGTGCCAGAATGCGATTCTACCCTCAGTGATGTCTAAAGTCCTCCAAACATCAACCAAATCCAGGAGAACGAGCTTGCATTTCAAGTACAATTGGAGAAACTGGCACGGGACGTGCTACGGCCGTCATCTCTACGCAGCCATCCTGCGGATTGGGGAGATGAGGTGCCTGCGCAAGACGCCAAAGGATATTAAAAGACGCCAGCAGAGCCGGCTCACCCCGCTGCCATCTGGCAAGTGACAGAGACGTATCTGCTGGGGAGCCAGCGGGCTGCAGGTCAGCTTCTTTCCTCTCCACGATGAGATCTACAACTCATCCTCCACACTTTGCTTTTGTCTTTTGCAGAATAAAAAGGGACAAGGTGCTGCATTACACTGTGGAAAACTGTCTGGAAATCTCTGGAAGCTTTCCAAAGTGTTGCAGATTCAGCTGGTCAATTTCAGTAATTTGTGTAGTTTTAATCTCAAAATCCTTCTTTGCAAACCTACATTAAGTTTGTTTACCTTGCTTATGTCCAATTAATGTTAATAATATCTGTCTGTATTTCTTGTGGTTTTTTAATCCAGCTACTTTCTGCATGACATTGTTTTTGCTCACTTTTGCACAGACACACAAATTAAACCATCATTCGAAAATCCGTCCATCCCGTTGTCTAGCGTATCCTTCGCTCTCAGCCTCCGAATCATCTGCTGAGACCAGCAGACGCTCACCTCTCTCGGCTGGCCATCATGTCCCAGCATCTCCCTGTAGTAATGCACGTTGTCCGTCATGGACTCCTCTCCCTGGTGGAACAGCAGGTACGTCAGGGAGCACTGCAGCGCCTCCTCCAGCCGGTCCTCTGCACAGAGAGAAAGAGTCACAAAGCATTTACAGGCGTCGTCTCTGCATAAACGGTTTATTAAACAGGTAAAAGAAACCCGCAGCGGGTTTTTAGTAGTTCTATGGTTCGGTTTGTTCTCACGGTACACAGTCCTGACAGTGGTGTCCTCTGATCGACGGAGGAATGCATCTATTGTGGGGGACATTCCCGACCGATAATAGAGCATGACTGTTTGACATGGTGGAAAAAATTACATGAGCCTCGTGACGTTAAGCGCACGCACTTGTATTTAAGCCCAAACGCAGATACGCAAGACGGCTGTAACCACTTACACACCTGAGCTACACACACACACACACACACACACACATTCTTTAGTGGCTTGTAAAAGCGCGGTGTTAACATAAGACTTCCTGTCTTGGCCTTGAGTCGAGTCGGTTATGCAGGGTAACGTCACTCGGGGAACTCAAGCAAGTCCCGCAGTGTGGCTGCGTCTCACAGTACTAACATAACTGATCTGTGGTACTAAAAAATATAATGATGGATATGAAAACTGTTTTAAAAAGGAGAAATAGTCTTGTATTTCATACATCTAAAACCTGACTGACAGCAATAAAATCATTCGCTGCCTTGGTTTTAAACTGCTTAACAGACAAGTAATTAAACAAGTACTTATTTAGTCGTAAACTCATGTTTACTCAAGAGTACGGCACGTTAAGAGATTGAACCGAAAGTTATATAAGCTGAGACAGAATGCAAAAATATTTAATGGATTTGGCTGAAAATTGGCATTAACAGAAAATATTATAATTGCGTTTGATATCAGAAAAAAAACAATGTAAACAATGTAACTTATAAAACAGAAGCAGGTTTGCCGTTTCATAAACAGTGGAATAAGCGACTCACAGACCTACAAACACAGACGAGACGACTGAAATACAGACCGGCAACGGCGGGTAGAAATCAGAGCCTGTTCGCCGAGTGTTTAAACAGATCCAAAGATCCACTTTGCTCGATTAGAGCCGCATGCTTACAGGTCGTTAGGGATAATCTGGTGATCTGGTGATCTGGTCTTTTCCGGCTACACTTTGTTGTCGTGCCAACAGCAATTGTCTAGAAGGGCTTCCACTGGATCACACTGGATACGCCAATTTAGAACGATGGTGATCGCGTTCCTTGAAAAACCTACCGTGGAAGTACGCAAACTGAAGGTAGTCGTAGTGCTGAGGCAGGTAGTTCTCCATCGGCGAGAGGCGGCCTGGCCGGGTGGCGAGGTCTCGAACGCACTCGTGTTCACAGTGCAGCACCTGAGTGAAGTGATCTACAATAAAAAAATAAAAAGAGTTTGATACCAACAGCTTGAAAAACTCGTTCGGCTTGATATTTAGTTTAGTTTTGGTTCAGGCTGCAGAATTTTACAGAAAACAGCACTATAGAGCAATAATAATAAAACTATAATAAAGAACCATAGGATTATCTAAACAAGGATAACCCTCCAAAAAAACTTGAATGGGAGAAAGAAGGAAGAAAGATCCTTCCTCCAGGATGGATAATCCTATTTCTTTGGTTAAATAACTATCCTAGTGCATCACTTGTGTGTTTTTAGTGAATGGTCTGTTATTTGTGGGGGAAGGACCGTTGAGTTCAACTCGAGGAGCTGTATCAAATCAAATACAGCGGGTCAAACATCACGTTATTCCCTCACGCTGGGATGTCCATCGACAAATTGTTCTTCTCCTTTTTTCCCCACCTGAGGAACAATATCTTTCACCGGGGGTTTACATATAATTTCCTTATGTCGAGCCCCAAGAGAAGAGCCATCCGAGTGGATGAAAGCGTGTTTGTGGGTGTTTTCTGTGAGCGTGATTGTACAGTGAGGTCATTTGAGCAGCTGCAGCACTACTTGCCTCACTCGGAAAGCAGAGCTGTGGTCTTTTTCCATCTCTTTGAGAGTTGCAGAGGGGCAGAAATATGAAATGTTTCAGGCCAGATTCATGAAGGACTGTAAAGCGATTTCTTTTTTTCCCATAAGAAAAATGAAATCATTACAATTAAAGTCATTCTTGAATTGAATACTTTCTAGTATTATACCATGAATACTAGTATTCATACAACGGATTATATTACCGTAGAAGCACACATCCCTTATCATAATCACAGACTCGTTAAAACTGTGAATGAGATGAAATGAGCAGGAGGCGCCCCGCTGTGAGTGCTGTGCTGAGCTGGAACTGTCTTATAGCTCCTCTCAGCAGCAGAGGGAGAGGAGACGCAGCGTTGGACACCGGGAGAGGGACAGTTTCTGAAACCGTAGCTAATAGTCGAGTAGTTCCCCTCTGCTGTGCAGGCAGACATGGGTTTCGTTCTATTTGCCAGGGTTATAAAGGTGCATGTTGCTTTAAATAAATAAAATGGTAAAGAATCAGTGGTGTACTCTGGTCACATTCACACCACTGTGTGCAGAACGGTACTGAAAGCTGTAACCGACAGTGCAGCAGGCTTGTTTGGGTGTTGGTAGGATCTGAATTTAATCTTGTGAACAGTGATTATTTAATAAAAAATCAATACAATATATACAATATTTGGGATTCGGGTCGCTGTTCTGGCTCGGCTTCAGGCTACTTTTCTGGACTGATTTGATTTATTTCTAAGAGACCGTCTCCAATTATTCAACAGGCCGATTTGATCGGGAGTTTTCCTCTGTTTCAGACATCTTATCTAATGATCGATTCTATTAACAAGCTTGTTATTCAAATATTCATTAGAAGCTTCCAAGTCAACGCATTGATTTGGGCTGTCAGTCGGATCATCCGTGTCTGGTTTGCGCCCCCCCCCCACATCTTAACATCATTAGTAGTTTGGAGACTCTCGAGGGTCTGCGATGTGGTCTCGCCTGTTAAAGTAACAGCGATGTTCAGATAACGTTTCTAAGCCATACATCTTAAAATGTGGAATGTGTGCTGAACTTAAAAGAGCTGGATGCAGTTTTCCACCTAATTTAATAATCCCCGGATTTCAGAGCCGTACAACAAAGGAGACGTGAAGGAAGGCCGTGGGAAAGAATCTTGCGACATAACGTGTGGGGGACCAGGGGCCTCATTTCTAAAACAGTGAGTACCAGAGGAAATATTATGATTTAGAAAACCTTGTACATCTGTCAGTGTGCAATTTCTGAATGAGCAATGGGGCTTTACTGGGGATCCCGGCAACTACCGAGAGGAAAGAGTTCTTTCCGCAGTGGCAACACACCACGAGTGTCACCGTAGTATTTAAGTTCACGTCAATCAGACGGATGACGCCCAATATGAACAGTTCAACAGGCGAACACAATTTATCTATTCGCGTTATCATCAGGACTGACAGTGATGATGTGCAAAGATCGCACAAGAGCTGAAATATTTACAAATAGTGCTTTGCTGCTGTATTAATGATCCGAGGGTCGTGTACCGGTGCTTTAAACACAGCTGCTTTTTTCACGGCCGTGAATGTAACGCAAACGGGGAGTGAACAATTTAAAACCAGAACCGTAAACGGAAAGTCGCGGTTCTTGTTACAAGCTTGCAGTAGAAATAGTTAATCATTCCTATAATTATGACAATGTGAAAAATAAATACATTTCCGTTCATGTAAAGTGGCCCAAGATGTCGGCTCCTACCTGATATGATTTCATAGAGGCTGTAACGGTAGCGCAGGTGGTCGTGGCCGTCGAACCTCTGCGGCCATTGACACAAGGCGCGGCACTCGGAGTCGGCTTCATAGTACTGCACCAAAGCCTCCTCAAACAGGGCGATGGCTCCTCTGTGGTCTCCTTCATCATACAAACCCACCGCCGCTGCAAAGGAACGCTGAGAGCAGAGACGGAGCATCGTGAGAGTTACTGCAAAGCTCTTTATGATATGACGTGCAGGTGTAATGAGGTTTTTATATAAGCAACGCGTTATTGTCCTCTGGCACACATTCGGTTTCCTGCAGCAATAATGGACTTTTGTTTGGGATAAACAGAAGAGACGCTGGGTGTGTTAACGCCTAAAAGTTTGGTTTCCCTTGGAATAGATTTATATTTAGAGGTAAAGTACTTTAATTTATGGCCTTTTGGATTGCAAGTTAGAGGCACACGATGACAGTTGAGTTGAGGTGCGGTTGGTATGAATGACATATTCAAGCAGTGCGTGTAACTTCTTCTGGAAGGTTCTGTGGGAACTTACAGCAGTTTGACTTGAAGACAAAAGAAAGAAAAGAGACTATAAAAGAGCAAAAGGATCCAAAAACAAGCACTAAAAAGTACCACATGAGCTACCAAAAAGGACCACAGCGTTCCTTTCACTCCTTTCGTAAAATGCAAGTTGAAAAAGTAGCCAGACATTTGGCCCGATTGGAGAAAAACGATGACATTGTGTCACATTAGTGTAAAAGTTTGCGTCTCCACGTACAGACTTGCACATTATGATTTCCTGACTCACCTGGTGAGGCCGAGCTTCTCGGTCCACAAAGTGCTCCTCCTCGACACCCGGCTGGTCTTTGTACTGCTCCAGGTTCTGGCCCATCTCCACATGTTCTGGGTTTGCCTGGAAATAAGTGTGAGCCGCCGCCGCCGCCTGGTCAGGCTGCTCCAACTGAAGAGAGAAAGAGTTATGAATTATTATTAACAGACCTCTGAAGGCACAAATCCAACTGTAAAGTTGATGAAGCTGAAATAAGTCACTTCAGGATAAATGAGGGCATTTGTACCTGCAGGAAGAAGAGGTTTACCAAGTATTCATCCAAGCCAATCCCCAAATAGGAAAGAGTGATTCAAATTCAAAACAGAAATTAATTTTTTCTACATTTAAATACTTTCAGAACATTTGGAAAAACAGGAAGACAGTTTGCCAGGCGTTCGTCTGAAGCCGCTGCTGCAGGAAGAACAGGCCGCTCGCCAAAACACGAGAGTGCACTCAAACGTTTCCTATAAATTCATTGTTGGCAAGCCATTTGGAATCCACAAATCCAGATTTAAGATACAAAGATTTTAAAAAAGGGTGAAAAACAGCAGCTGCAATAGATCAGCTGGTTAAGTGATAAATAAACCAAGCACATCAAAACAATAAAAAGGGACATTATAATAACAACAGCAGAGTGGAGCTTGTTATGCTTCAATTGTAATCTCAATCAACTGAAACGTACATCATTTTTTTTGTTTCAATTAATCTGCCGGTTACTTTCTGGTTTAGTGTATTATTTGTTCAATGAAATGCAGAAAATAGTTTTGAAATGTCCGAAACCAAAAGACATTCGGTTTACAAATTATGAGAAAATCGTGTCATTGGATGAGATGGACTTAATAATTATAGACTAAAAAAATTGTTGCTAATTCATTTCTTTTGATTGACTCATTAATGAATTGACTAATATTTTTTTCATGATAATACCTAAAATAGTCTGTGAAGTTTTCCAACAACAAAAACAAAGCTCATTTCAGAGATCCCAGATGCAGACCAGATGCTCTTATCCCTGAAATCTTGTCATTTTGGAAGAAATCAAACGTCGTAACATCACTCATCAGATAAGACCCGTATCATGTTCAAGCCTCAACATTGGTCTCCTTACACAACACCACCCGACTGGTTTTCTTTAAATCCATCCTGCTGCCAACAGGTACAACGGTAACAGTAACGTTTCACGGTTGAGAAGGTCAGCCTGGTACAACAGCCGTAAACACAACGGTCAGAGGGAGCTTCTCAACACAGCCGGCCCTCTGTTTGACCACTCAGCACGGATTTGTGTTTCCCAAGAATTACATTGTTCCAATGAAATCCTCTCTCGCTCCCCTTCATGAAGAACGGCTCCCACGAGGGAAACATTGCGTCTCTTTAATGCAGTAGCAGGAGAGGCAGCAGAGAAAAGCCCAGCTGGACATTCTTGGTTCCCAATAAAAAGGCCAAAGAGCTGAGGTGGCGTTGAATGCATTCCACGTCAGATTATTTGGCAGAAGCCACAAGGAGACAGAACTTGATGATTGAGGTGAGTGGCCGATATTAGGTTTCTAATTCTATTCATGGTTTTATAAAAACAGCTGAACAGCAACTCCAATACGGAATAGGTTCAGGTAGAAACGACCATTACAGCAGTCACAGATTCCATCTATGTCCATCAAAAATTTAATTATTTCATACATTTTAAAGTGTTTCATAAAATCACAATAACCTTTGACCACCATATTCTAACCAATTCCTCCTTGAGGTTAGGTGGCCGTTTGTGCCACATTATGAAACGATTTGCTCTAGGTGTTTGTGTTACTTCCAGAATGATGTATCAATCATGTTGCCTTTCTTATTCACATTGATTACTGGCCCAGGGATCCGTATTCACATGAGCACCTACGTGCAAATTCTTGTTTTCATGAAATATGCCGATTTGCACCACAATCCAGTAGAAACAGACTGCACATTGAGCAAAGCCAAAGCGCTGCGACACTTGAGCACACAATGAAGTGTGGAATGCATTAATCTCTGGTGAAATCAGTGTCAGTGGAGCTTCGGGTTGGAGTTTTCTCCCAATCTCACGTCACGTGTCCTCTGTCTGAAAAAGGCTCCCCGAGGTTATTCAGCGGGAATCTCCTCGTCAGAGAAGCTATGTTGTCGACTTTGATAATCATCTGCGATTACGTTTAGTCCAGACTCCCGAAGACGTAACAGCAAAGAGGCGGAGGGGGGCGGAGGGGGGGAGCTAGCCTTCAGTCACCGCTGTGCCTCCACCTCCTCCTCCTCCTCTGGCCCCGGCTGCCCTCAGCCCCCTCAGGGACAAACTGGCTCGGGCCAGTTTAACGGAGGAAGATGGGAATCTCTCCGCAGCAAAAAGCAGCTGTGGTCGGCAACAACAGGATCGTGTCCCCAGACGAGACAAAACCTGGGCGAGCCTTAAAGATTTAGAGGCTCACTGGACTTCTCCCGTTCCATCATGAGGTTTTCACGGTGCCTTTATTTTGAAAGGGAAACTAAAATACCAATTTGTGATGTGAAATCACATTCAATCTGCAAAAAAACATCCTGTCCCGTATGGTATCTGTATAACAGTATAACAGTTGAGCATGTGGAGAAAAACATACCAAATCTAACTTGTGTTTCAGTGAGAGACAGATCCAGAAAAGCACAGCCATATTTTCAACAACACCGAAATTCACACGCTACTCTTTTAAGGAGAAAGATAATTAAACATGGAGGATTACTTAATCAAATCGTTGAAAACTCCAAACCGTCCAAGCTCGGAGATTCTAAATCAAAAACACAAGGTCACCCACAGCAGAGTGAAAGGCTGAAAGGCCCCCCAGGGGGGGCAGGGGACCAATAAATCACAGGTTTAAAGTGAGATTGCCAGGATTTTGAACAGTGTCATGGAAAGGAAAGCAGCCGTGTGTTGCTAAATCAAAATGTCCCGTCTCTGCTTTATCTGCCAAAGAGCAGCAACTGGATACGAGGAGAGTGGGTTGTTTTTCCGTGAAAACCTCAGCCGTTGTTCTCCCCGTAGGAGTGAAATAGTGAGGAAATCAATACATTTTCCACGCCATGAACTATATCAGTAAAATCTGCCATTAAAGTGGACAATATTTAATATCAAAATCAAACCTTGTGTACATCTTGTACCACGTGAGTACATTTCCCCCCCTCACATGAATTTCAAAGGAGCACCTGCAGACGTGGATAACTACCACTCCTCACTAAACAGTGGCCCGTTTTAGAGCCGCCGGGCCGCCCTGCTGCCTCGCCCTGCACCCAGAGAGATGTGCTCTTGATGTGGGCAAGGGAAAAACCACATATGCATGCTTTTCACATGTGGGCCTCCTGCCTGATTCCCAGGTATGTAGATAAGCTTGGGCTGGCGCCGAAGATGCAGGCATGAGGATGTGGCAAACAGCACCCGTCCTACGCAGAACCAGCACACACACACACACACACCAAAAAGACGGAAGATCCTGTATACTTGATAGACAAGCTGTTTCAAAGAGTTCCTAAGAGGTTAAGGAACCCTTGGGAAGATGATAGAGTTTAGTGTTCAGGTTAAGACCGGACACGATTACAGCAGCAATGAATCAGAAAGGATGTCAAGGTGAAAGAGAGCAGTCGTTCCGGCCTGCGTGTGCAAGGCTCAGGTCTCAGGCGGCCTCAATGGGGGTCCTTGTGTGTTATGGTTGAACGAGGACGGAAACCACACTTCCCCCCCCCTCCCCCCACAGCTTTCTGATATAAGACTCTCGTCATTTTTTGAAACAGCTAATGTGAAACTCCCTTCACGGCGTGATTGGCCAGATATGTAGAGATATGTTACACAAGCATGTCTATTTGTATTGTAATGTAACTATTTTCCAGAAAAGACAAACTATGTTCTGGAAACTCCATATTCTTCCTTCCAGCATGTGAAACAGCGAAATATGTTTGACTTTCCACTTGAAGAGCGGGTTCTATAAATAATGAATTTTTCAGACATCTGGGTTTAAACGCAATCAGAAACTCCTGAGTGCAGCTTCAGCCGCTGCGGACAAAAGTCACCGGACTATTCGACGTAATGGCCAATTGAATGTACACGGAAGCACAATCCAAGTAATAACAACTTGTTGAGTCGACCTCATGTTCATACCGCAGAGGACAACGACAGGGTTTTAGAACACATTGATGTATTTACTCAAATTAGACTTCCGCAATGGGATTTCCTCTTCTTACTTGTATAATCAGCCATTTTCAATCTGAACTTAACTTCATTGCTAATTGCTTACATCTCACCGCTGCATTTGAGTGAACCCTTTGGTTCGGGACTGGCTTCTGGCGTCCTGCAATACAGTTTGGCCTCCGTTTGCATTAAAACCGCAATACTTCTACGGCTAATTCTGCTTTGTGATAGAGGTGGTGTCTGCTTTAGAACGGTCAATGCGTTGAAGCTACGCAGAGGAACAGTCACGTTATCAGAGGTACAAAAAAAGGTTTTCAGCTCAACCTGACGTTGTAAGAACCTTTGAAGGAAGAAAAGGAAATAAAGCTCGTAATCAGTATTGAAAAAGAAAAAAAAAAAAAAAAAAAAATGCCAGGAGTTCCTACTTAATATATCTAAAAATATATCTTTTCTACACAGCTGGGCCCTAAACATGACAGACGCAGTGTCCTAACGGGAAGAATATTTACTTCAGTCTAACTGTTGTCATTTTCAAGACTAATAGAAAAGTTTACCATCATTAAACCAAGATTTGAACGGTCGAGGTATATTTATCATAGAACGTATTCATCCCACAAACAAGCAAGTAAACCACATAATTATCTCTATTAACAAAAAGCACAACACTTTAGCAGTTTAGACACAGCGTTGAGGGCAACTTTAGGAGAGTGTATTATTGGTAACAGGAAATGCATTTATTTGTGGGTTGTTGGTGCTTGCTGGGCTGGAAGTTTGTTAAAGGAGCTGAGAATCATTACTCAACATCTCCTTTGAGCCGAGTCTGCAGCGCAGACTGTAACAGTTAAGTGCTGAAGGTTTTTATTAGATTTCTTGTTCAGCTGCTTGTGTTTGGACACAATTTGGAGTCTGAGTTGTTTGTCTGTTGTCAAATGACAAAAAAGTGTTAATGTCTTCATGATGGTATCCAGTAAAG